TTTTCTCTGTCAGCCTTCATTTCATCACTCTCTCCCTTCACTTTCATATAATGTCTCCACAGTCTATCTATCATTTCTGTGGAAATAATGTCATTAAAAAAAGTAATTAATTTTACAACAATCGTTAAACTTTGCGAGTATTTAATAAATAATATAAAAATGAGTTTGACATTTTCGTCGTTGCAATCGTAATGTTATAGTATTCTTTTACTGTCTCGTTGACAGATGATTAAGCAATAGGCTCACTCTTAATATTTCTTCCAACATAGGTAGTCTAGGTCTTAGTTTTATTCTTATAACGAATATTAGAATAAAACTAAGAGCAACATTGTTCACCATTGTTTCATATTGATAATCAGCGACTAACTTTGTAAGAAGGCAATTCACTTCAAGTAGCTTCGGCATATTTTTGCGCTTATCACACAGGACTTCGTTCATTATATAAAGCTTATTTAGTTTTTTTTTATTTACCATGATTTGATAGACAGACAGAATCCGATAGTAGAATAGATCAATCAATAGCAACATCAGTGTGTCGTTTTTGAGTTAACAATGGCAGAATCCAACTTGGTCCACCAAAACTCTTGGTTTGATGCACCTATACCGACTTATATCTAATCATTCCGATCTGAAGACAAAATAGTGTGTAACCCTGACGTACGAAATGTGTGTGATATTAAAAATTATTGTAAAATACTATGTTCCTCAGATCTCAAACCAATCTTGTATTATAGAAATCTGATATAAAGACGATATAACCACCCAAACCCGAGACAATATGGAATCGGTAATTTTCTACATTGTGATAACCCTGAAACCAGCGTTTAAACGCTTTAGTCACGGACACGGTCATGAAGGATATATTAAAATTAGTTGAAATTCGTATACACGAAGTTTATTTGACTTGAACAAGATAAGAATTTAACAAACTGTTCAACTCAATCTTCTTGCGACTAACTACGAGTGGAGCTACATATGCTCTTTTTACAACATCATTACATTTCTTAACACACGTAACACATTTCTAAACACACGTAACAAGCACGTTAAGCTGTTGGTCCTGGCTGCATTTACAGTCCTTAATATCGTCTAATATGCATTGAACCAGAGTGGACGATCATGGCACATCCTCCTTAAGGAGGACCTGAGCTTCTGCAGGGGACGTAAAAGGGCTGATGATAAATTATGAACTATTTAGCTGTTAAGGATTCTGGAAAGCACGAGGGATAGTAATATTTTCCGCAAAATGAGGAATTTGAAAAAGGGTGTTTGCTTACTTGACCTAATATTTCCAAAAGGGTAACGTTTATGGGGACTCGGGACAACTAGTTCAAATATAATTTTCATTATTATTATTCCCAACGAGCACAATGCACGACTGAGATCAATTTAAACTACACTTTCTAATATCAGTGGTTGCTGTCAAGGAGAACGGGTTGCTAATGATAATCGACTTAATCTCAACCTTACCATTTGGGAATACGTCTGGATATAATTTTGCACATTTCCTAGAGTATACACGTTTTAAAGTATAACATATACGCATATAATTACGATATTATCCCATAAGGGTGGGTCATGTTATAAGTTACTAATATTATTTTAAGGTAGGTATTTTTCAAGGCTCGTCTGTTGTAAATGAATTAAAATTTGGAACAATTTGTACTGCAATGTTATCTGAAGGTTTTCTCTGTAATCCTGAGTGCACGAAATAAAAATGATTCGTATTTTATGATATACGCGGCACTCTTCTGATTGATGCATTTGTAAAGGACTACAAGCTTACGTTTGTATAAGGTTTATATTTTTCCTATTCGACTCTGTTCCTTAAGTGGTTAGGGTTGCCCTTATTACAGACCGCAATGAACTTTAAACACCACTTCAGTAACCAAAGCATTCAAAAGACATTTCCAAAAGACAATCAACATCTTAGCCTTAGTGAAAAAGATATCTGATTAAGATGAAATCAAATATAGTTTTATTTAAAGCTTTCAAGTTTGGAAATTTGACGGTTTTTTTGTTACGTTTTTTTAATCTTATCTGGTTTGAAAGGTATATTCTCAAAGGGGTCCTGTATATAAAAATAAATATGAAAAGTAGATTTAATAGATTTTTGTGAACCTGATTTAGCAAAGTCCCTCTTCAATTCAAGAACAAATGCTTTAACTAACTCGATAAACTTCATTTGAAGTAGGACGACCAAAGTCTGGTCAGTTAATCCGAATTTTTTGAAAAGAATATCAATTTTTATGTAATTTGATGTGGTGTTGGGTGTACATAAGTGTAATAGCGTGTGTGCATCAGAGGCATGATGAGGCACGTCGTGTCCCACACCGCGGGGTGGTCGCCACCGGCGGCGGCGTGGATGTAACACGACACCGCACACTCAGCTGATTGTGAACATCGCATTATATTCCCTTTAATGGCTGTTGTAAGACTTCTGAGATAAGTGTGCACATTTAAATCGCTGTCTTGTTAACTATTTAACAGGGCGCGTAAACCAAAGATCACTCAATTTCAATTGGTATTGTGCAAAAAATATTTTTTTAAAGTGAAGTCTAGTGCCTAGAGTATTTATAACAAGAATGGCTAATACAGGTCTCTCGACCGCAAGTAATTTTTTGACATCTTTTGCCACTGAACGATTCTGCGGTCGACGGACTAGCAGAAGTTTAACACAGCGCTCATTTGAGTGAAAATGAAATAAATAAAACCTCTTTTAAAATAGGTTTTATTGCATTGAATCTTTATGCTGTGGTAGCGCTGAGCTTGAGCTTGAGCTCGATAAAAACAGACTCGAACTAAACGTTGACGTCTAGTTCGAGTCAATTTTTATTACAAAATATCATAGCAGTAGAAACCTAGACTGGTAATTTAAAACCCAAAATCGGGTGCATTAGGATATCAACGTGTTTATAAACCTCTTTCTCTTCTTTATTGCTGATGTTAGTAGGTTAAAAAAGAGATTGTATAAACTGACTTTGATTTAAATTTGTGGACTGATTACAATTTCTTTTCATTATTTTTTGTCAATGCGTTGTGTCCAATGATGTCCTTTTTTGCGTTATAATACAAAATTGAAATTACCGATCAGATTTCATCATAGGAACAGTAAAATATTTTATAATAGCAGAGTGCCTGTCTACCTGAATATCACAAAAGATGAAACCCTAATCCATTTTTTTCTCTTTTGCTTTGAATAAATTCGTTTCGTAACAGCTTTTGCGAAGTGAAATTTCAAGGCGATACTTTTATGTGTGAACTTTGTTGCGACGCCGCCTGTCGCCTGTGTCTGTATACGCGTGTTCAATGAACTTAAATGAACACTTTCAATTACGTTACTTTTCATGATGATGCGGTTTAAACTTGTTATAAATCATAAAGTAAAATTTTTAATTTTAAAACCGACAAAAAATTGTTTAAGTCTTACAATTAGTATCTCTTTGATTTCATCTTAATACACTCTTATATTAAAAGAAAATCTATTATTGTATATTTGTTTTATTAATCTCAATAGCTACTAGATCTATTTCTAACAAACACGGGTTATATTTTTTTTCCTACGCAAGCAAGCACGTTTGGAACGTGACCGGGCTTAGTTAGTGTCATATAATCCGACATTATGCGAAGTGTCAACTAATTATTTGTTTTGTAACAACAAATAAAAATATGAAGAAGAAACTTAAACGGAATGGGCTCTTAAAACAACGCACAAAAAAAATGGTGTATTTTATATGGTGTGTTTGGGAAATGTAAATGGGGAGCCATTTTGATAACTTTTTATTTATTATAGCAATTATAGTACTTAAAAAAATCTATTCATCGCCAATTGTATGTTAGAGATATAGGAGAAATGTTCACTGAAAAAAATAATGAAGTTTTAAATATAGGTATGCATGTTGACCTAGTGATAGCCGGTAATCAGCCGATCAATGTGGATCGTGATCATACCTAAGTTGCGGATTGATGGAAAAAATCAACTTAACTGGATGTTATGTTATCCATTTCAATCTGGCGTCAAACACACTAAATACCTCTACCTATCCTACCTACAGAATACAGGAATGACATCTTTAATGTTGCTTCCTGTTGCCTTATATTATACTAATAATTGAATACACTCATGTCTATTGTAATCGAATATTGTTATTATTTTAGATCACAGTGTAACTTCTCACGTCATTGTCCAGCCCAAGCAGACGTTATTCTGACACTTTAAATTTCATTTTAACCCGACACCGACGGAAATCAACCGGGTTCACATAAACACACATGTGACATACATTACAATGGGGTTAGTTAAAGTGACGCGTCAATTTTATTTAGTGACGTGGTGGCAAGGTGCTTTCGCGTACCTGCCCGCTTTCTTCTGACCCCTTTCTTTTCCCCATGAAACGGGGAGGGTCCGTGGGATTGCCGAAGTTTTTCTGGATTTATGTTGGATTTTTTTTGTTATAAGTTATTTTATATACCCGGTACGAATTTGGTGGTCGCACTTCTTTGTCGTTTTCTGACACTGCGTTTTAACAAATGAGTTTTTGCGATAAATCTATTATTGGAATTTGGTTTTGGTGAGGTATCTTTTACGGCTTCTTTTCTAAGATTTATTAACAGTGTACTGAACACTTTATAAATTTTCTCATTAATCCCTCTTAGAAAGTTACGGTCCATTGTCTAGGGTATTTACATCGATGAGGTTCTAAATCGGACCCCCCTGATTCAATGGATTCATCACAACTGATAGGGGTAACAGGGTCATACTCATTCTATTATTTTAAAAACGAGAGTATTCATTTATTTTTATATTTTGTTGTAATATTCAAGTTCAATAAGAAATAGCTAAATATATTTACTGCGATATTGTATATACAATTTTTTATATATTTTTTTATTTAACAATTAATCTCACGTAGAGGAATGTTTATGATGGGGACGCCTTAAACTACAACACACAAACAAAACTTTTAGAGATATACTAAATTGGTATACTTTTTTAATAGTTCATATATCGACACTTATAAAGATTTTAATAGAAGTGTAAGATAAAGGAAAATTCAAAGTTATGCGTAAGTGTAAAAAGTTCAAATTCAAATAGATAAATGTTATTATTATAAAGAGTATGCTATGGCTCTCCGGCATGACGCCATGGATCCCACATTCCTGCCAGCCGACACGCCACCAATCGCTGCCGACATTGACTATCAGCCGAAGACAGATTTGGCGTCCGAATACTTCAATACGTTCAGTCAGATATGCGAGAACTATCGGACAGATTCGGACGTCAACCGGCAGACGTCGGACTCGCTCCGTTTGACGTCGGAGATACTGGACGGCGTCCGGTCCGAATACAACGAGTACGGAGAGAGAGTGTACAAAGATGACAGACAGGAGTTTGTCAGTACAGATTTTAGTGATAAAGTGTTTATGAAGGACGAGCATGTGTTCCAATTCGGACAACCGGACGCGACAGCCCTGTTGAGGCACCGAGCGAGACGGAGATACCACGAGGAACACGGCCTGCAACCACCGGCGGCCACCAGTCAGGAGAGCGGGGTAAGTCGGGATGTATGAATAGAAGCATTAGTTTTGTCCAAATTTCTTTTTCACTTACATAGTTGTAAATGATAATGAGTACTAGCTGTGCATCTGTATGAATAAAACTATTTATCGGTATTTTTTTGGGTGTCGTTCTTTTCATCATATTTTTAATACGTTATCTTTTCACGTTATTTAAATGCCAATGTTGATTATCTTTAATTTAAATTAATATAAGAATAAATCATTTAACAAATGATAAATACTCGTAATATTTAGCCACCGAAACGTATCCCTTAAAAACTGACCACTATGAAATAATTACTTATACCAAAAATAAATATTAATATTGAACTATATTTAGATCTGGCAGCATTTGTGTGTGGCGGGCTAGCGCGTATTATAGACATATTGAATGTTACACAGCAACGTAACGAGCACAACGAAAGAAACAGGAATAGGATATAATATATCGCAAAGCTCTGCGTAGATAGCAGCACTAGCACATGTAGTAAACAAACAATTTTTTTCGAACATTTCGTCTTTTGGAAATGGATGCTTCTCTTTTTTTTTCAATTTCACACAATATTAAATCCCAACTATGCTTACTATTACTTTAATCTTTGCTCACTAGTTTGATAATTACGTGTAAATTCTGCTATCGGATGACAGAAAGTTGCATCGATACATCGTGTTAACGCTGCTGAATTTTACAGTTGTACGTACTCATTTAGAATTAGTCTTAAACCTCACCATGTATCACAATGGGTCAATCACTACAGCTTAATAACACGTAAATCATACTGAAATTTGATCAGTCGGTACATATTAAAAGAGAACTTTTCATTTATACTGAAAATGTTGTTTGTATATTTTTGGTTGTAAAATTCCATGTAGCCACATATTTATAACATAAGCAAAGAAATCTATTTTGGTCATGCAGCCATGATATAAGTAACACTCAGATGTTTGTTTTAGGAGGTTTAGAACAAAGTATCATAAATCTATTTTGCTTTTCTCAATAAGATTCAACTCAAGGAAACAAAGTAAGATATTATTATTCGTCGATAAAAGTAAGTTTCGTAAGTACGGCTATTCTTTATGACGCGTGTAATTCAACACTGACGCCCCCTACACCTTGGCAACGTCTAATGGATTGTAACTCGACCCCCCGCCATTTTGTATTTGCGACTAGAGGGATTTTGAAATCTCTGCCTTTTACCCCTACTTACTTAACTAGGATCAAAATGTTGAATCGCTAATGAAATTCAATGGACCGACATAATATGATACAAAGATTCTCCAGTCTACACTTGGTGATTGGTAGAGAAAGCTTATAAATATAAAATCCGCTGTTTCTAAAACTCGATAAATAAGTAGAATTATTGACTGGATCAATTAATTTTATCTAACGTGATTTGTCAAACATACGTTAGTGATTATAATATTAGCAGAATGTAATAAACTATTTTATTTATAGTTGTTTAAATAAAAATCTGTATTTGATATGCTATTTATTTTTAAATTGCATCAAACAACCCTAGGTGAGATATATGAAAACGTTAATCATAATTCAAATTCCCGTTATTATAATGTATCTCAGCATTAAAAAGTCGAGCTGATATCCTGTCGTGTGGTACAAGTCAAGAGATACACATTAGTAACAATGCTTTAATCAAAATTGTAATATATGCCCTTGTAGTGTTTATGAGCGCTGAAAAGGAATCGAAGCTACGGGCGGATAATGTAATGGTAATGGTAACGGATCCGGTAATCAAAAAATTAAGAAAGACATTTTCTATTAAGGCACCGACCGCAATACGCTGAAGTTTTCAAATCGTATGAAACACTTTAAATTAACTTTATTCAGAATAATATTTTTATAGTAATAAAATACTAATTTGTGGTAAACGCATCAACTGAGAAAATGTAGTGTTTGAAATAGAAACAAAAAGAATTTTCAGAAATTAAAATGCATTTTTTTTTTTAATTTTGACAACTCTGGTGAGTTTTTTATAGATTCGATAGGTATTGATTATTTTATGGAAATATGTGTATATCAGTTAGTAACAGAAATAGTAATTATGATTTGGCGCTTTCGTCTCGTCCCTTGTACCATACGTTGTGTTCCAACAGGAAACGCTACTCCGGACTATGGGAACGTCTTGGTACTGACTCATGTTATGATAGCTATTTATAAAATGCATTCGTAATGGTTACTTTGAATTTAATTAGATCATACAACAACAACTTTTGTGTCAAGGAGGATATATTTTTGTTAGTGTACTGTTTCATAATTGAATTCTGTAGTCGAATAAGTTGCACCGCCGACTTTTGTGTCCGACAGCTTCGAGTTCATAGTTTCAATTTCTCCTTGAGTTAACAACAATAACAAATAAATACTTTTCGGTGGTGCTTCCGGTTTTTTTGGTTTTTTACCATGCTCAGTAGGTAAATCATCATTGCTATGATGATTTACCTACTGAGCTTGGTCAATTAAATTTGTGTTTTTATACGAAGTGTATTTCCAGAATGTATTTGTTATTATGATAGGCTTTTGTGTTAAACACTGGTTGGACTCTGGTTTAAGTCATATAAATTATATAGAACGATATTTCTTCTAATTACCAATTCATCAATGACAAGATAGTAAAAAGTTGCTAAGAAACTGTATTGGTTTCCCCAATAAAGTCGTCAGTTTTTACTATGAATACTATTTTATAATTTCTTGTGCACATTTAATGCTCCTATGTGTCTCCAACTCACCACCTGTGAGACCCCTTGTTATGAATACAACACTCCTATTAAGCTTAACAATGAGCTAAATAAGCCCTACAGACATTTTCACGCTTCACCTAAACGGTTGTGCCCAGTGGTTCTCAAATCTTACAGCTGTCAGCGCCCTATGTATTTTTCTTAATTTACTTATCAATATTGTGTGCATAACATTTAGATTTTTATACGTTTTATAAAATCTTATTGAAGAGTCATTTTGATATATAATTGATATTATTTATTGTGTTCAATAGCATTTTTAGAAAACCAAAATATCCTTTTATTGATATAAGCTAATAGAAGACACTTTGAATCTTCCCATATTATTTACTTAGAGACCTTTTTACGTTCTGTAAAACCTTTAAGAGTCATTTTGATGCATAATTGATATTATTTGTTAGGTTCAAAATATCCTTTATTGATATAAGCCATTCAGGATGATAGTTAGCCTAGAGTGGCGTTTCACAAGTGCTTGTAACAGCCTAGACTGAATAAATGATTTTGATTTTGATTTTGATTTTGAGTGTGCTCTTTCTGGTATGTTTTTATCCATTTCTATACAGTCTTGCTTTTCGACAACTAAATGTTTAAATTTAGTACATTGTTGTAGCTATACAAGAGTTTGAGAACCTAAAAACATAGATAATGTTTCACAAGATCTCGGTACAGTCACCATTCTAAATTAGGCATGATTATTTTTTGTCCGATGCTGTTTTGGTCAAGTGTACCTAATTGCAGTAACAATGGGACATTGGTAGAAAACACCTTGCTAATATACATTTGTGGCCAAGAGAAAGTATACGATAATTTCCATGAGAATAATATATACTGAAAGGATTAGATATGCTTTTAAAAAATATTTATAATCAAAGTGAATATGGCTTGGGTGTCGTTCAAGAGATTAATTGAATGGAATGAAAATACTTTCATTAAAATATATTTAGTTAAGAATATATTTAATGCCCTGCACGTTCTATTACAATATAATCATGACTATTGTAACTGCAGAGCATGTCTATTCTTTTACACCTGAGTGTTCGTGTCTATCCGTTATTCAGTTGCAATAGTTGGTGAAAATTATGAACGATGTTTATTGTGAAAATTAATAAATTGCCTTTACCAAATTTATGAAGATGGTGGCATTGTTTTCTTACATTCATAAGTACCTATTTGTTAACAGTATGATCTCATTATTTTCATCTGTTTTTTCCCTAAAGGTGTGATATTTTGGTTAGGAGGTGTCGATGAAATAATGGCTTCTTAAAATAACACAATAATAATCTAGAATCGACTCTTAAATTGACCACATGGCGAACTGAATTTTATTGCAGTATAAAAATATGATATGTGGTTGATTATTTATTCTCAGCAAGAGGTTTATATAAATATGCAATAGATTCATTGTGATCCAAGTACATTGCGAGATGAAATGTGCCACTTTGGTGGTGGATTATCGTTTTAGATTTTACGCGTAATCGAACCTCGAGTGATTCCATATTTAGGATCAAATTATCATAGTTCCTTTTCGTTTATTTTTCTGTATTTTGAGACTGGTGCGAATGTTTTGATAATACCCACTTTTTTAAACAGAATATGAAAAAAATGTCGCTGAATGTTAATTTTTCAAAATGTGTCCACATCAGATTGGCCGTCGGTGTATAACGGTGCGTCCACAATGGTCACAATTACCAACGATCACCACTTGATATGTCGCAACCCGCTACCACAAATATGGCATACACTTATATTGTTCGGTACGAATGTCGCCCGAGATATAAAATTTAATATTAGCTGCTGACCTGGCAAACATTATCCTGTTCCAATATTGAAACAGAGAGATATCAAAATACTATACTAGATAGTGTAGAAATAACGCAAAGCAGATTTTCTATTTCGGTCTTTATAAACCTTATACGGTTATAAACCTATTAAGCTCATATTAGAAAATATCTATGTGATTCCTTGCGAATTTGTTTAAATTCTAGTTAGAATGATATTGTCAAACTTATAATTATTCATAAGTAAGAAGATTACTTACAATAAAAAAATACAATGTTATCAAACACTTCCAAGATTTTAGAACTTTTCATGCTCGCAATTTCATAATATAAAATAGCCGTTGCCTTACGACTCTGTTACTATACTCTACAGAATGCAGTAAAGAGTTGTTTCTTAAACTTTTAGCTTATTCTTAACGACGCAGGGGATTTCGATTCAAATTTCTCTAATCGTTAGAATAAATACCTCGATGAAGATTTATCACTATACGAAACGAACCGTTACGTAAAATCAGTAAATATGAATGCATTTTGTAATATCTGCGAACCAAGAACTGGGGTATGGAAAATCGTCAGCTTACGTTTTTGGGGATACTAGATTTTAGTAATACCTTTAACTCTGTTGCTTTTGTTATTCTCTCAATATATCTCCAGATGCAATTGACTGGTTTTGAAGTTACCTGCTAAGACTCCGACAGCGTATCCGTATTGACGATAGTGTCTCTACGTGGTGCGATATTAAGGTGTTCCTCGCCTTTCTCCTCTTCTCTTTTCTATATTGATTCCATAACAGAAATGCTTTCTACCACCTTTACGCTGACGACCTACAAATTTACACACAAGCAACCTTGTCGCATGTTTCAGAAGCAGTATCGGTTGTCAACTCAGCATTCTCTACTTTTATTCATTATCGATTACGCTGATGTCTGTTTTACGGATTTGTCGGAAGAACTTTTCAATAATTGGAGCGGCCACAGAATGTTTCCATCAGATTCATTTTCAATCTCCGTAAATTTGATCATGTGTCGCGTTTCCGTTCTAAACTCAACTGGCTTCATATCCGCCGGCACAGGGACTAACATACTCTTAAGCTTCTTTACTCTATTATTTTCCTTCCCTCTTCTCCATCTTATCTCAACCAGTGTGTCGTTTTCCGATCTTCTTCATCTCAGTGTATCTTGCGATTCACTTGTAATCTCGCCTTGGACATTCCTCGTTATTCTACTTCCTATTCCTTTTCTGTGCATGCTGTGCGGTTAAAGAACTCACTTCCGAAGGATGTAAGGAACAATCTCGTTCATAAGTTCTTTTGACGATAGAGTTAAAAGCCATTTCCTTTCCTTATCTTAATTCTATCTCCTTATATATAGTCTTTATTTCGTTTATTATGATATATCTTGTATCCTTCCTATAGTTGCACCCAATACCTCATATAATCCACCTTACTTAACCCTTTTTATTTTTTGTCCTCCGTAGATTGCCTGGAAGAGATTGCTGCTTAGCAAGGCCACCTTTTGTATACTTTTTTTATCCTATATAACTTCCTTTTTTATTTTGGTCTGTGGTGTGCAATAAAGTAAATTATGTATTATCAAGAATTTCCTTCTTATTTGAACACTCAATAACATTTTCTAGATAAATTATAAAATAGTCAAGCCAATCCTTCTGCTTATATTTGAGAAGCGAAGAATTCTTTTATTTGAACACGAATATTGTTTTCCAACAGAGATTTAATGTTCGAATGAAGTCATTTTCACTGTGTATACCATATAAGTAATCATAAAAGTGTTGTACCGTGTATGGATCGTTGAATAAAACATTGTTGTGGTATGATATATATGCATTAGATTTTCACTTTTAGTAATATCACACGGTTGCTTTTTATAAATTTACTAAGTAAAAAGGGCCAAATAATTAAAAATGTTTCAGAGACGTTCCCAGAATATTGGTTACGTTTACTAGATACGCACTGGATATATAAGTTGTATTCCTAGAATGAATATCCTCTTGCTACTATTTTGTTTCATCACCACATTTGGGTAGGTAATCGAAGTCGTTTGAATCTTTACAAAAACTAAAAAAGGAAAAGTTATTTGGTATTTTAAAACATTTATTAAATATAGTAATTAGTGCTAAAATTGTTTACTACAAGTATACAAACTGACGGCGCTATGTTTTTAATATTACTTGAAATGAGGCAATTTTTTACCCAATAAGCTGTCAATGCTGCCATGTGGAATGTCAGTCAGTTTATGATGTTGTTTTACTAAAAGGAGGTTGCGTTCAATATTTTATCTGTGGCATTTTCGATATGTCACAGCTATTTTTTTACCGCATCCCAAAAAGGTTGGCAATTACAGGCGTCATATCCATTTAGGTGACAAACGCAGAGTTGTCATTATTACAAAGTTTATGGATTTGTCTTTTTATATTTGTCCACATTATTGATATTTGATTTTGGTGTTCATTTTTTTTAGGTCTCGTTTTTATTATTGAAAACTGTCAGTTCTTTGAAATTATTTTATAAGTAGCTATAATGAAGCGCACCCTTGATTTTAAGTTGAACCATTTTGTAACTTAGATGTATCTAGTTAAGATGAAGATAGGAATGATGTCTTTTTCTCCCAAGTATAGGTTATAGGTACCTACCCAATTTTGATTTTGAGAAAAACTTCACAAACCCCTTCCGTCATTTGATAAAACTAACTTTAATACCGGGTTAAAACCACTATCCGAACAAAATAAGTCAACAAGTCTCAGTTTGACGTTTCCTGATCTGTCATTGTCGATTTTATTAAGTTTAAAAGGGGTAATGTGCCCAGGTAGTCGCATTATTTCTTTGAGAAACTCTTGCACAGGAAGAGTAATTAGTAATAAATACTTGCATATGTATACACCATTAAAAGGTATTTTATTCTTTAATTTCAGTATGGCAGCGACGAATTCGGGCACGACTCGCCCAGTCGGTACGCGTCGCCGAAGGGCGCGGGCGCCGGCGCACCGTACCAGGAGCCTTACTACGGTGGAGGGGGTGGTGGCGGCGGGGAGTGGGGGGCGGGATATTACCAACCACCGCCGCCATATCAACACGATCCTTATGCGACGTCGCCAGGTTAGTAGGAAAAATTTTGTGTTTGGATCTCTTTTATTAACACATTCGAATATACATAATACACACATCAACATCGTCTAGGGATATTTTAATTATTCTTAATTTTCTCAGTTCTTTTTCTGACTAACATACAACATGTTTTTATTTTTATAAAGCACATTTATTAGCGTCGATTATAGAATAAAACATAAATATTTTTTGTACCTAAAAATAAATTATTTAAGTAAAGACGAAAAGTAGAATTACGGTAAAAACAACGATAAATGTGTTTTTCAAGAAAAAGTGAAAAATATAGCGAAATTATTCTATCTGGCTAGATACTAGCATTTGATTGAGGTATTTTTAAGCGGTCATGATGTTTCTGATCCAAACGAGGTCTGTTCTTCCACGAATTCCCGCCCAAACCATAATCGTCCCGCCATAGTATGGATGGACTTCCTGAGGGTGTTGCAGGCGGCTCTCACGACCAGGAGTTCGCTATACGCGTACACTTCGCGAATCAGGATGGAAACCGAATCAGTAAACAGCACTACAGACCACTGGCTACCTTCCCAGAGCAAATGTTCACGAGCCCACTGTAATCTTCTTCCACGATTTCCTCGGAGTAGTGCAGGAGTACGAAGCGATCTGCGAGCATGAAGATTAGCTTGATGCAGTCTTCTCCTCACGGTTTAGTCACTCACAAGCAACTGGTGCTCTGACTGGAGCCAGTGAACCAACTGCATGGCCGTAACATTTGGTTGCCTTCTCGCAGCCATTTGCAAAAATCGGTCGGTTGTCGTTGGGTGGTTATGCGCTTCCTGTCTAGGTGTCTTTCAGCCACTTCACCAGTAGCACGATAATGTGACCATAACCGTGATATCACGTTTTGTTTTTTCCAATGTCCTCAGCAATACTCCGTTGAGTAGCCCCAGCTTGGAGCATGCCTAATGCCCTTAAAATTTCCTCTCTTGTTCAATGACGTCGCTGTACAATGCATATAGTAGCACAAATTCAAATTAAACAGCTAACTTGTTTTAAAACTATCGATTAAAATAAATCTTCAAAAACTATGGTGGGTAAATTAAAAACTTAGAACTTCGCTAGAATTATGCCGCGCAAATCTTTTATTTGAAATCGATCGAGAAACCGAAAAGATTTTAAAACCAGCCAGTATTTTTTTTAATTTAGAACTTTATACAAAATATCCTTAGACGATGTTGATGTGTGTCGATGTTGATATCTATACCCTATTGAGAATCACCTTAAATGTCCAAAAGCTAACGATGAGAAAGTGGACAGGACGTTCTGTGTAGATATCAGTTCATTGGATAACGCGTAAAATATATTTGCATTTCCTCGTAGGCGGGTTACGTTTTATTTTTTCGCTACAAGAAGAAAAACTTTAGCTCTTTTACATTTGTTTTTCGTGGCTATATAGGCAAGACTGCAAGGTGAACGGGTCAGCTATGAAATGACTCACTCTCTTTTTCCGTTTACATGAAATGATGTGTACCTAATGGTTGTGTATACATATGCAGGTGTAGCAGCGGCAGGTGGCGGCGAGGCGGGGGGCGCGGAGCTGCCGCTGCCGCCGATGTCGTCGTTCCGAGCGGCTGCGCCACACCACTCTCCCACCGATCCCATGCTCGTCGGAAAACCCTCACTACAACCGGTAAAAACATTATAACTACCAATACAATATATCACTATCAGCATATCCTCTGCTTCTGGGACACTAGATGAATATACACTTAAAAAACGAACTATAATAAACTACTACCCTGCATTAACCTCCTGCAGATGCAATTGCATCCAATCGCTTGATGTCTATTATCCCCATCAAAGACAATAATAATAATAATAATAATAAGCCTCTTTATTTCCATAACATGGTAACAAAATGAATATTTGTAAAAAAAGGAAAAACAATATTTTTAAACATTGTCATGGCCCCTTACGGGTATAGGCCTCCTCCAGGTGCCTCCATCTGTCCTTGTCTTTCGCGACGTCCATCCAGTCCCCTCCCACTAATTTTACTATGTCGTCATTCCAACGAACTCTAGGTCTGCCTTGTTGTCTTTTGCCGCACGGACCGTGCCATTTGGTGACGCGATTTGGCCATCTGTCTCTAGAATAACGGGCCATATGTCCGGCCCATCTCCACTTCAGACGTCGTGTATGTTGTAATGCATCTATTACTTGGGTTTTTTGTCTTATGTTATTGCTATTTTGTTTATCTGTGATCTTAATACCAAGCATGCTTCTCTCCATAGCCCGCTGGCACGAACGAATTTTTGACATTGTTTTATGATTGAATATCCAGGTTTGGGCTCCATACGATAGGCAGGGTAGTAGACTGGAATCCATAACTTTTTTCTTAAGGGAAACTGAAAGTTTGGATTTCATTATTTCTTCAAATCAAAGACAATACTCTTATAAAATACTCTAGCAAAAGGGTATGCCATAACCTTATAGTCTACCCTTTCGCTATAGAGTATAAGCCCCAGTACCGGTCAGTCGAGTCTCCACAGCCGTATCCTCCCGTAGCCTCTCTCCAGACAGATGTATCTTACGGAAACGGATGCTTTAATTCGTCAACATACCCTACCCACTTCCCGTCTGTGAGGAAGAGATCGATCTAACTACCCTATTAGCGTAGCCTTCGGGTTACCTTACCCTTCGGGGCTTCGTCAGAGTCAGTCTCCGCGATCAGAAATCGCATTATTCGCCGTCATATTCCATAGGTCTCCATAGGAAGGTCTATCCAGCAGTGGAATATAAAATTCCGGTGATAATTTAAATAAAGAGAGGTCGATGTTTGTATGACGTGCCTTATATTGTCTATATGCGCGGACATCGTGCACTTGCAGATGTACGCGGGTGGTGCCCACACGGTTGGCGTGGGCGGCGTTGGGGGCGTGGTGGAGGCATCGCTGTCATCTTACGGGTCGTCGCCCTCCACGCCCGTGCACTCGCCGCCGCCCCTACATCCACGGCTGTACCCGCTCAAACACTCGCCACACCACCTCCAACACAACGGACAGGTACACACTTAACTAGCAATCAATCTATATTGACTTAAAAATAACATTCAATCACTAAAAAATATAAAGCTTGATTAGGCACCTAGAAAAATCGGTTACTTTACACCTTGACAGTTATAACAATAAATTATGAAATATGTTAAAAATGGTAACCATGAAATATAAAAAAATAAATTTATTTTTGCAAAATTAACTTGCAATTTATAATCTGTGGATTACAAGAACCGAAACGCGGGCGGTCATGGCGGGCTGCGAACACCGTCACTTTTTAATTAATTAAACGTCGACGTCTTTGTTTGTGACTGTTTAAATTCTGCTTCACGTTGCAACCAGTACTCAAGTTTTGTTGATCAAAATTTGAGGTCACGGCTCTAAATGTCACGTGACTGATTTATATCGCGGGTATTTCAAAGCTATTAATAAAATATATTTTTTCGTTATTTAATAGCACTTATTGATATAAATAAATCTGATAGTGATTTAATATTATCATAATTGAACATTTCATAATACTTTTCTAAACTGTCAAGTAGCTAATTGATTTTGAGTTAAACTATAGAGACCAAATAATTAAAAGTTATAAAATTACAAAATATCTTAATTAAGTTAAAATTTGAATTAAATGGATTAAATCATTAATTTCTTTATCGTAACTGCCCATACTCTTATTATATGGCGAATTCATAAATATGTCGATCCCACACCTTAGAGTTTTGTTCTGATGAATTTACTTTGAGATTGGTACACGTGGTTGTAGCAGGCGTCATGGGCGGGTAGCGGGGTCTCGTCACCTCCGGCGGGCGCGGGGGCGGGCGCGGTTGGCAGCGTGGGGGCGCCGCTGCCCGCGCCCGTACTGCCCAACGGACATCATGCGGTCTTCCCGCCCCCAGTCATGGTCAGTACACTCATTTATATCCCCTTTTTTACTATTAGCAGCTTCTTCTAGGGACCATCTTTACTTTTAGACACACACACCTTAAGTGTTGTCTACGATGTGTACGAACGAGGTGTAATAAAATTTTTTTTTTTCTGTAAAAATAATGGAAGTCATACAAATGACTTAGAAATATAGGAGGCGTTAAAAATATGAATATCGTATAATATAATTCATTAATGGACCTCTTTTTTACTGTTTACGAATAGACTGAAACGTTATAATAATTAGATCTAGACAATAATAATAAGTAATTCTTGTACAATGTTTTTATGAATATGTAAAATATCTTCGATCAATTTTAATCCTTAGTACGTTGAGAATAAAGTACAGAATCGATTGCGGCAATTTCATAGGTCCTTTTAGGCTTACGTACTGCTAAGTGTACGTGAAAATTGAGTAGTAGGTTCAAAAGTAGAAATAGGCCTTCAAGCTTCTCAATTGTACCAAATGTATATTTTCTATGAAAAGTTCAATCATCCTTTTAAATAATATTATAGAAAAAAAATCCAAACCGTTTCGAAAGCATGATTCTTGCATGCGTATAAATATTTTACGCTTTTTTATTTTTTTAAGAATATTAATTATTTATATGTTGATCTAACACTTAAACTATAATTTTAACTGTGTAAGATCAACACATATATTTTTAAATTGATAGTTAATATTCTTTTTGTACTCAAATAATACGTGATAAGTTTTTAATAAATAATTTTGTTGTTTTTTTCTTGTGTTATTAATATTTTTATAATCGTAAATATAGTATGATACACCTTATACTTTATTTTAAATAAATAATAAAGTATTTGTTCATACCGTATTTCGATCATGTGTTTTTTTATTTTATTTTTTTTATTTATTGGAACGCTTGCATCGATACGTTTACATTTTCTGTGTCGCTCAATCAATTAATTAATATTTACCGACTGTTGATGTTCTCAATAATTTTGAATTAATATATTCTCTCTGGTTCTCAATCAAATACGGCCACTTTAAAGGCCAAAATAAAATATAATTTTTTTATTACATTTTCAAGCATTTTTCATTAAAAATATTTTTCAGTATAGCATTGTAATACATAATTGATCAAGTATTATATTTATTAATTATTAAAACACTGTCTTTAACGGTTTTCAAACTTAATAAATAACTTTAATAGTCAATTTAAAGTTAGTGAGAGCATTTTTTACTAGTAATATATCTATAAAATTTTATTTATTCTTTATCTGGCTTAAGTATTTTTCAAAGTTAATGGGTAGTTTCTTAATTGAATTAACACCAATCTGGATGAAGCCTTACTGTCGATGCAAGCGTCCATTTTGTTTAATCCTAGAGCGTGTGGAATTCGCAATCTTGACACTTAGTAGAAGTAGTAGCGTGGTTTGCTGTTTTTTTTAGTTTGTTTTTGTAATATAATATTTCTTAGTGACATTTCCCGAGTAGACTTTGTCCTCTCTCTGTCTTTTTAACGACTCACTCCTATGATAACTTAATGCATGATTTATAATATTTTTCAGTGACCACCTAATAATTATAAGCTTTTGTCATAAATCTTAGTCGATTAGAAAAAACGTTCATTCGACTTTTCTATTTAACTCGTTGTGGTATATCTCCGTTTATATAAAGAAAAAGTGATTATTGTCGTTTTGGTCTTTTATTTTTCTACACTGGTTATATAGTAGAAATTCGCAAAATCTTGTTTCTAAAATCTAGTTCTTTTTACACGCTGCTCAAAAAAAATTAAAAGGAGCATTTGATATCCCTGTACCTCTAATCGCTCAACGTCTTCGTTCTTCCTTTTTGGCAGAATTTGCTAAGGCGTGTTTGCTAATATCATTAGTGTATTCTTACTACTTTAATCTGTATATTTCCTACAATTAAGGTCGTGCTTGTGTAAATATGTGAAACTGAAAACGACCTTTCAAGTTGTTCATTTGGAAATGATAGTTATCTGTTCGAGATGTTGTGCAAGTTTTAACTCCATCTTCACGCATAAACCGGGTGATATCGGATGTACGTTTTAAATGTCAATACTATTATAAGTTCTTCTTCACGTTGCTAATAACGATACAGCGGTAAATATCTCCTTGTATTTTCTTATTTGAACGTGTTCACCCCTTATCGTTAATTTGGGTTTTATTATGTATTCTACTTTTAGACCCATACGATTAAATGATAATCCCCAAGTTTATACAATGCAGAGTAGATATTCCAATTCTATAAATACGCCAAAATCATGGTTAGTGCAGAGTAGATATTCCAATACTATAAAAACGCCAAAATTTTGTATATGATTCTTGTTTACATAAGCATAAGGCCTAAAAAGAAAGAATTAGGTGTTCATCTCACACTTGGTGGGGTGACGGCGCCTAAATAATTCTTTCGCTTCGTTTCGAAACTTAGCCTTCAGCGCTATTCCCCTCTCCTTCTATTCCATTTTTTTTATATTGGTGACCGTTAATTAAAGTATGTGAGCCTATTTTATTCTTCTAGGTAATACTTGTTTGTAATAGATATTCGCCCATGAAACATGTTCGCCCGATCGACATTCGTCAATTCCTTTTGAAATAGAGTATCTGTTCTTTGGAGCATATTCTTTCGCTCTACCCTCGCAACGCCCCTCTGTAATAGGTTTATGGTTGTTTGGATCACGTTCGTCCACTCTACTCCAGCTGGTGTCAGATTGTTTCCCCGCTGACTGACACACTTTGTAGGGGGCGCCGGCGGAACAGAGGCAGCTCGACGAAGCTATGGTATTCCTGAGGGAGCACTCCGATGTCGGGGTGAGTACCGTACTGATGGGAGGATGGTGATGTAATACCTTCTCGTTTACACTATTGCCTCATTTATAAGTGTAAATGTGTTCTTGAACTTCGCGCGTTGGGACATATGACATACTCAACTTATAAATTGTTATTACGCGTGTATTTATTTTATAATTCTGTCTGACGTTTATGAACAAAATTCACGTAATTCATCCATCTAAAATTCATTCTTTACGAATCTTGGCAAATCGAGTACGCATCTTTTCATTGCTTATTGGATTTACGCTATATAAAAGGTAGTTTTGATTATTAAATGAAAAATAAATTCTGTCGACAAATTACGGTTGTCTAGATATTTTTATATTGCATTCCCTGATTACTAAATGTATTTTGTGAGTAGTTGATTCTAAATGTATTGCTATTATTGTATTTAGTGTAAATTTTCTCCTTTAAAAAGCATGTGTTTTTGAATTAGACATTTTAGTTTCTTTGCTGTGTTTAAAGTAGTAGTAAAATTTACCTTTAATACATTATTAATAATAATGAGCCCTTTTACAGTAGATTGTTTATAAATATTTTAATATTCATTGTGGGTTGAATCACCGGTCTCATGCTGATGGCACCAGTACCCGCTTCCCTTATTGTAGAGAATTTTTGTGTTGCGCCAAGGTGTTGAAATCTGAATCTAAATCAAACAACATCATACGTTGTCAATATTAGTATTGTAGTCTTAAAAGAATTTACTACAACCACACAGACCTGAGACGAAATAAAAAAGATCATTTACGATAGAATCACATTCGGGCCCTCAGACATTAATGGCTTGAAACTGTCAATAAAAATGAAAACGAAAAAATTTTATGACAACATTTATTATCTAGTGTATTAATGAACGCCTTAAATTTATGAATGTTGTGTCTCTGATGTTTAGTTCCTTCCTAAGATGATAACTTTTTGGTTTTATTGAGTTAGTAAATCAAAAATCAAAATGTTTTCATTAAAAACAGGGTACATGATAGCGCACCTCTAAAAAACTATCATTCTAATTTACAATATACTCGTATCATTGAAGTCCCCTTATAAGTATTTACATAATAGGTTGTTAAATTTTAGAATATGATTCAACATTATCCAATTTAATTAAAAAAAAAACAGTGTATGTAATGATGTTGATTGTTATGATAATGTATGTGCAGGGTGCTCGAATGGAGGAGCGGTTAGACGACGCCATCAACGTATTAAGGAACCACGCGGAAGCCGCTGATCTCTACCCGCAGGATCATCTCACACACCAGCCTCAACCAGGTCACTATATATGTGCAAGCAAAGAATAAAAAATATCATATAAGCTGTTTTCCCGCATCGTTGCCCTTGTAAATTATAGTATAGGCAACCGCGTATGATATGACGTCCCGTGGGTGGAACAGTTTTCATGATATGATCAATAATTTCCGAAGATTACCCTCTACAAACAAAGTCAGAATCTTTATTTCTTTATAATATAAGGTCTTTCCTCATGAAATTGCCGTATTTCATAAAATGAATGAAGCGTCTTTTTTATATTTTTATTTCTATTAATCAAAGTACCTAATCACCCACGCAATCAACGCATCTTTGCCAACGCATTGATACCTTTTTTGAAGAAATCAGCTGGACTGGAGGCAATAAATTCTTCATAGACATGTTGTACCTCTCGGGTATTGATTTTTTTTTCCCGCCAAGAAGTTATCCAAATTCTGGAAAAAGCAGAAGTTTGTAGGCGAGATCTGGCGGAGAACTTCCAACCCCAGATCTTGTATCTTGGAGACTGCCTGCTGTGCAGTATGAGATTGCGCGTTGTCGCGCAGTAGCAGTGGAGCCGAACGATTGACCAAAGCTGGTTGGAGACGTGCGTGATTCACAGTACACATCTACAGTAATGTTCGTCCCGTTTGGTAAGAAACTGAGATGAATTACATCCGCGCTACACCACCAAACAGTGATCATCACTTTCCTAAGGGTAAGATTTTGTTTTGGGCATTGTTTGGGTACTGAACCAGGGTTCAACCAACTTGCTGAGCGCTTACGATTCTCCAACAGAATCCATTTCTCGTCACAATTAACAATGCGGTTCAGAATTCCATCATTTGTATGCCAAGCAGTGCATGGCACGTCTCGACGCTTACTTCGCGCTGGCGATCATTGAGTTCGTGGGGTACCCATTTGTTAAGCTTTCTTACCTTGCCAATTTGACTCAAATGGACCAATATTGTTTTGATACTAACGTCGAAAGCTGCTGCTAAGTCAGCCGTAGATTGAGTTTCATAAGCTTCCACAATCGCCTTTGTCGACCAAAGTTTTCGGACGACCACGGGATTCATTTTCAAGTCAAAATTTCCAGAACGGAAGTGGGCAAACCAATAACAGGTGGTGTGTGTTGTAGTGTTCGGTCCGTAAACGTTGTTGGCGTTGCGAGCCGGTTGTGCCGCTTTGTTGCCACAACGGTTGGTAAATAAGAAACGTAAACTCAAAATGTATTTTTAATTTATTAAGTTTTATAATCTGTTTTTATCGCCATACACTAGTTATACACAGATGGCCCTACTGTTGTAGTTTTAGTTAGACGCGTTCTGTTTTACCGCCTATAGCTCTCTCGTTTTCAAGATGGCATGTTTGCCTTTGTTCTCCTAATATTTATTTGGATAACTCAATTACGCTGTTTTGAGGTGTGATTCTCAACAACGCTACTCATACTCTATAATTACTCAAATTTTTAACTCATCGAAAATACTACGAAAAATGATCGAATGCGTTGAAAACAAAACACTAACTGTGAAACAAATGACGATTTTAGAAAAAAAGCATTCCATGTTTTTAAAATAAAATTAATTTGAAATTAGAATTATCAGCCAAAAAAATATTGTGATTTGAAATGGCCAGTACGGCAGAACGGCAATTTCTTAGGTAAAGCCCTATTACTAGTATTGATATTTTTATGGTCATTGGGAAAATTTCCCTAAAAGATTAGAAACTAGCTGATCCGGCAAACTTCGTACCGCCATATAACCGTTTTTATTTACAGAATTATCTTAGTACCACTCAACTGTCTCCGTTATCGGATTTCTCAAACTTCTAATAATAATCACTGTGAGAAATCTATAAACATAAAGCGTGTTATTTTAAAACGCAGACTAAAGTTTATTGAGAATGACACAAAACTACAAATTATGACGTGTTGATTTATTTTGATCGGTTAATAGTATAAACCTGGTAATAAAGTTAGTTCTCGTTTCATAATAAGACTATTATAATTAATGTATTGTACTTGTACCGCAGGGAGCCGATTGGCGCCGCACCTGCACGCGGACCCCGCCGTCAAACTGGAGAGACACGCGCTGCCCACCACTAGTGAGTCAATAGTTTCTCTTCTATTAGCTACGTTTACCCAATTCGTAACAGGTCCTGGGCCTCGATTCTAATATATTTTTTGGGAATAATAGCATCTCCATAGAATCTCAACTAATTAAATTTTGTCATTGTACTATCTACCTGGAGTCCAATATTATTAGTGCTATGCCTTTCTCACAAATCAATGGTGTTAGATATATAATAATATTAGACTCGGGTAGATGAAAACATGCAAGTAATCGAGATTCTATTGAAATACGATTGAATTTACCTACTTTAAAGCTCTCTGTATTTATTTTTGCAAGGTGTTATTTTTTCACCTTATGTCTTGCGGGGTTATTATTTTTCCCTTGTCCTTTTCTCTTTGAACTTATTTACACGTATATCTTATATTATGTTATATTCGAGTCGATAGTACTTACATAATTCTACCTGTTTCAACTATACCACTCGCGTATGATGTAGCTACCCGTAGGTCAGGTCGGCAACCTTATGAGACGAAAAAGCCAAAATCTACAATTTACAAAACTCACATTTTTAATGAGACACTAACATTATTTCATAATATGAGATTTTATTTAAAATGAACGGCGTTAAATCTCTCTTTAGTTTTATCTCAATCGTATAGTATGGGTACGTAAATGGAACTTGAGAGCCGCAACTGTACATCGAAAAAGTGTGTGAAGTGAACAATAAATCGAATCTCCGTATATTATTAGTATTTATTTATCAATATAGATAACCAACGGCATTTAATATTAGTAAATATTATACTCGTACTTATATGTCGACTTAAATCATGGGTGACAGATATTTTTTGTTTAGCAGTCATTGTTAACCCATGAACCCGTCTTGTATTCGAAACCTTTTTATGGCTTCTAGCGATAAAGTATGTGTGTAATTAACTATTGTTCGCTTGATCACAGAGAAACGTAAAGAGCCACCCGATTCAGGCCTAGACTCGAAGCCGTCATCGTCAGGCTCGGCGGACGCGCTCGCCGCCAAACCACCCGGCTCCAAGAGATCCAGACGGTAGTAAGTATATACCTATCATACATATACTCGTACACACATTGTCAACTATAATATGTGTAAATAGTATCACTGAGGTCTCGGGTTCGATTCCCGGTCGGTTCAATGTAGAAAATTAACTTTTCTATGTTGTCTTGCTGTCTGGGTGTTAAGGCACTTTTGTTCAATCAGATAGTCCATAATACTTTAGCTTTAAGCTGAGGGCTTTAGCTACTCATTTTGGAATCTGAGCAATGTGTAGTGATATTGTGTAATATAAAAAATACATATAATAGATATCACACGTTAAGCTGAGTACATATAATTTGCAAAGTAACATGCGATGTAAACATCAATGCCATAGATACAACACACACACACACACATACAAAGACACACAATATTATAAATTACCTGGTATACACGATAACAGTAGAGTACGGTAACCCAGTCTATACATATTTTATTCAAATATGATAAATAAAAATTCGATTTTTAATGCATGTCTGTAATAATAAATGGAATGGCTCTTGGAACTTACTGAACTTAATAACTTAATTTTGTTAAACTGTTACTTACAAAATCAGTGATACCTTGTCTTTATTATATTAAGAAAATGGACTGGAAAAAAGTTATTGCTTTACGACTGGCATAAATTTTGTAATTAATGTTTATTTAGTAGCATCGTGTATATCAGGCTTAAACCGTGGTCCGGTGGAAAACCAACTGAGAGATTCACCTAATTTAGTTTTATCATTTTTTGAGGTTTATATTAAGGGCCTATTAACGCTTTCTTGCATTTACATACTTCTATCTTTTCCTATTTCTTTTTGGAAAAATATGAGATATAAATAACAAAAAAAAACTGTGTTTATAGGCCCTAAATACAAAATAAAAAGTTTAATCAGTACATTTTAAGAGAGCATAATATTGAATGTTGAGTGTTTTGAAGACAGATATCTTGAATTACAAAAGTTATTTGTTTACTTATTTTTCATTTAATATTATGTTTTGAATTGTTATTGTTGAATATAGGCACTCAGTACTAAGCACCCAATATAAAAATCTACTACCAGATTTCAAATGAATAATGATTACATGTAAGTGAATATTTGCCTGTGTAACTTATTTAATTTTCAAATACAAAGGGGATTTTGAAAAATTTCACATGCACTTGTAATATTTATGTTGAATTTATTACTTTGAAAGTAATTAATAAATAAAAGATTAGGAAGTTAACTACTCATGCTCAGTATGTAGTGCTTATATTAAACGATCACAAGCGAATGAAAAAGTAGGGCGTAAAGTGTATTGTGATGTATTGGAGTAGTGCTATAGTAAGTAGTAAAGTGACTGAACGTATAGTAAGCACCCGACTAACGCTCTGCACGACAGCTGCTCGTCCGCGGACGAGGACGACCTCGACCCCGACACCAAGGCCGCGCGCGAGAGAGAGCGCCGACAGGCCAACAATGTGCGAGAGAGGTGCGGATATACTATACCATGCTCTATCCACCACTAGAGACCCGGGCCGACGAGGGGATTACTAGGACTATATAACGGGGGATCACGGGGGCTATATAACAGAGTATATACTCTCTATCATAAAACGCCTTAAGTATATACTAAAGGTACTTTAAATCCGATATATAAATTAATTTATGGTAGCAGATAGTTACCCATAAATACCCACTAAATATAGTATGAATGCGATGTAAAATTATATCGTAAAACAACACTCGAATTTATGAACGTCGCCCTGGGGTTCTCATCCATTTGTTTTAGAGAGAAAATTAAACTAACCCTTCTTTTGAAATTTTTCAAGAACAATCTATCTTCAAAGAAGCTTTCTTTTTTATTAGTATTTTATATATCTGATCATTTTATTTATAATTATTCTTTTAATAATTTTCTCTCTATTTTTGTGTGTTCTTAATATAAATAAGTTTATGAGGTGATGTATTTATCGATAAAGGGCTTCTTTCACTAATAGAAAAAAAATCCTGTTTTCCACGTGCCTTTGCGCTACTCTGGAAGCACATTATTATATTTACATATCATTTGCGTTTGTCAGAATTCTTTATAACTAAGATAGATACAAGATACTTATTCTTTATAACTGTCCCTAATATTATAATTTGCAAGACCAAGAGAGATTCTGCTCGGCTTATGCAAGCTCATCTTGTTGTTAGTGACTGCTCTTATTCGTGTTAGTGAAAGAATGTCCTTGAAAATAATTTTACTCTTCACCTTGTAAACACTGATTTTCACACATTGTCTCATTTAGTATAAATAAAATCATTCCAACTAATTAAACGATCTCGGATCACTAAATGGAACAAGTATATAGTCGTACTGGCATTTGCAAAGGCCCATATGAACTAGTGAATCATTATTTTATACAAAAATACTGCTTCCATGTGTTTTAAGGAACTCGAATAGTAGTCAATATATTTTATACTTTCACACAACCTTACATAAGGGTGTTTTTACATACTTCATTAGGCTTGAGTGTAAGTGAAGCGAGACTTGGTTTATTTAATCTATTATTGATTGTGTTTATAAAGGTTATAGGCAAAAGGGCATAGATGTGAATTATACATTGCAGATTTTTATTTGAGTTTAAATTATTGTATGTAACAATAATTAAATATGGACTTTTGCAAATGGTTGTACATGCAGCAGTATATAAGGTCACTGACAAGGGCTGATTTCTGCAATCAATTCTTAACCAATAATAGATTGAAGTTTATGTTTGATTGGAGGAGTTAGTTCTTTTGTAATGACCTGAGGTATTATCGACTGTATAAAGCTATTTGTCGGTATAAATATTATCATCTGATTACTAACATGTGTACATATTGAAGTTTCAGCTTTTGCCATCATTAACACAGGTCACAGTATGTCATATATATCTATAATACGTGTCTCTCCGTCTCTCTGTGTGTGTCTATCATTGTGAAAATTACATTAATTGTTTGCAATAACAATATTTTTTGTTTGGCAAATGATTTAGGATTGAGGTAAGTTCGATTCGCGTTTTTTCTTCTCTAATCGGAGTTTCGATTTGCAATTTTAGTAATGTTCAAAATGTTTTTATTTTTGCTATAAATTAAGTATCAAAATTGATATCAATTACAATTAGAGTACATTGAAACTCTGATTTAAATCATTCCACAAAGCATTTTGTACACAAGGCTGTAACATAACTGAATGGGTACCGTAATATAATAGTTCATTTTCTATCGTGCATATACTGGTTTTCTGAGTTTCTATTGGGCATAATTAAAATATAACCAATATTTGACATATTCGAAAATACGTATGTATATAAAAATAATAGTTCCTACCTTGTGGCGCCTGGTTCATTTTTCTTACCCAAGCAGAGATCTAACGCAATGATTAGATAAATATGTAAATATAAAAAAATATAAATCTAGGTAACATAAAATTTTGTGTAAACTTAAACATTAAAATCGATGTATTTGGATACAAATAACAAATAACGTTACCTACGTCATATCTTAATTAACTCGCCGTTGTTCGGTTAAAGACTTCTTAAGAGTAAATTAAAGAGATGTTGTTTTATGTAATTACATATTATTAATTTAAAACATTTATCCTCCAATCCGCATTGAGCCAGCGTGGAGAGTCATGGCCCATCCTCCTTAATCTTCCATAAGGAAGGCGTGGGCCCCTGCAGTGGGAACGTAAACAGGCTGATCATGAATGAAATCAAGAAACCCACTTTGGAAAATAGAAATCCGGCTCGAAGGATCAATTTATGTACTGGTTTGAACATAATAATTGCTAAAAGATGGTCCTATCGTGGTAATTACACGTTCATTGTTGAGTATAAAACGTAACTAATATTTATGATTAATGATTGCGTACGTTTCCGGCAGCGACTGATGTTACATTAAGTTTTATTTAAAATGTAAATATTGAATGACGCGTCGTGAAGGCGTCACAGACGTTGTACAGTAAAATGCAATGCACTAAACAGGTGTATCTAGAATTTGATTAGCAATAAAATATTCTATATAATGACTAGATATAACAGTTGTAGTAAAAAACAAAAATATTACCACATACATTATACATATACATCTATTTGCATTGAACATGATCATCGCTTATTAACACGGTTGCTTGTGGGTGGTTGTCATTTTGTTTAAGCAGGAGGTCGGCAGCTCTCTCTCTCGCGCCGTCTTCGATCAGGTAACGCTGTCTCGTTGTTACCAGAGTGAGTCTCATCCTTACTAGAATCGTTCAGTATTGGTTTTGTGATGTCGATTGGATCCATTTTAGCGGTAATATTATGAACTTTTGAATATATAATTTATTTGGTGAAGTCTTTAATTTTATCTGAATCGAGAACAAGTTTTAACCTCACTATTATTAGTTTGATTTGATACCGCTAGTGCGGTTTATAATTTTTAATCATGAGATAGAATGCATTCTATAAGATGATAAATTAGCACAATATATATATTGTGAAAAAATTAAATCGGCGTCCCAAGTCCACAGTTTACTCAAAAGTCCGTAATATCTAAGGTCTAAAGACCTACAATCGTAACTCGTGAGCATTTAACAGCTGTTCGTCGGCTGACGAAGGTGATGATGAGGCGGATCCACAAGCGAAAGCGTTACGAGAGAAGGAGAGACGGCAGGCAAACAATGCGAGAGAGAGGTGAGGTATAAATAGTAGAGGATCCAACACAGCACCTTGAGGCACTCCATCTTAAATTAGCTTATTTATTAGATCTTTTGTGATTACTTAACGCATCAAACACATCCATTGTTTTAATATAAATTAACAAATAAAATGTTTTGTGGTACATTAAAATGTCACCATTCTACCTTTGAAGACAGTTTTGGTAAACATTAAACTGGGACAGAGTGAATTCTTACAAAGTGTGTTAGCATTCTACGATATTCTGGTATGTTCTACCTGGTTGGCCCGAACTTTTTGGATTGCTTTCAAATTTGCATATTAAAAATAAATTAAAAGCTATGTATTTCTGTAAATAAATACATTAGGACCACCGCACAACCTACCGTCCTGGGCCAACGTCCTGCCCTAACGTTAATGCGTTTTAACTACAGCTTATGTCGTGCTTGAGATTTTTTAATATAGATTTCACCACAGGGAGTATTCGCTTTAAGCCCCAATCACGCGGGCCCAGCAACAAAAATAACAACAGCCAACCTTAAATCTATAACAACGTTACGTGACATTAAGTAAAGCGAGTTTCGAAATGGCATAGTGATAGACTTTTATTTGAATTGTGACAAAATTGCAAATTCTGTACACGTTTGTTATCAGTGCAAATAACAGATGTGATTCTTGGTAATTATGTCGTTATTGATATGATTTTTTGTACTGTTAGTGTGTCTTATGATAATAAAAGTCATTACAAATTTGAATATCTTCGGTCAACCGTTTACCTTATTCCTTGGTAAAGATGAAAGCTCATTAGATTACAAACCGTAGAATTCTTCAATCGAATTATAAATCTTAATGCGTTGAAATTAAAAACTTGACGTAGTTTTTCTGTGTAAACGAGACGTTAAATATATGTCATCACTTTACCGCTGTTTTAAGATTTAATGATATATATGTATGTACATACTGTGACCCTGTATACGTGATACTTATTTTTTATATTATTATGAATTCAAATCGCATTTCATCTATGACTGTATGAATGAAAAAAAGTATGCAAAAGTGTTCTAATTTTGTATGATTAATAAATTTGTCTTTTCTTTGTGAGCAAATTAAAACAATAAACAAAGATAATAATTTCGATCATGCTTAACTGAAACGAATAATACATTGAAATAGAATAAAGTAATCAAATTATTGAATAAACAATATCTGATTATTTTTTTTGTGAATGCGATTTGAAATATTCAACTAAAATGTACCTGCGGATTAATGCTCAATAGATGGCGCTTTTTACACTCTTTAATTAATCTCAAATCTGCAAGTATCTCCTTCGAGAAAAATTAATTTGATCATTATACACTAGCAGGGATAATGTCTCATATATTGTAAACCTTATTTGCTGATGTATTATTAATAAAGGTAAATCATTAATCGCACTGGCAAATTTTCAATATAATATAGTGATAATTACAATACTCCAAAAGAGATATTATCCATGTTATTATAACGGCCCCTAATCACATATGTACTTAGATTAAGTGCTTGCTTGCATAATATAATGAATCTTTATATAATATTGTACTTTATTCCCTCAGGATAAGGATAAGAGACATAAACGAAGCGCTCAAGGAACTAGGAAGGATGTGCATGACTCACCTGAAAAGTGACAAGCCTCAGACCAAGTTAGGTATCCTGAACATGGCAGTGGAAGTGATCATGACGCTAGAACAACAAGTCAGAGGTTAGTGGGTGGAGCTTGTTCAATATAGTCCACAACGTAAAATAGGCCATCATTATAACAAAAATAAAGTTACTAAACACACACTTAATAATGCGTGTCACTCATAACCGGCGTGTCGCAAGCGAGAGTATGGAGACTTGGTCTCGCTACACTCCCCATCTCCTCTTTTCACTACTTGTAGCTAATAAGTTAGTCAACCCTTTAAACTGTAGACTATGTTACTACATTCCCATTTATACAATAAGTGGTGTTCCCTGGTTTATCACCAATACCGAAATCCATAAAGAGCTTTTGATAGACAGTCTTCTGAAGAAAATTTAAAAACCATTAAACATATTTGCTGAAAGTAAAGATGAACTGATCACATTTAAAAAAAAAAAGAACAGAAATAAAATTATAACACCTGTTGTTGTATAACAGAACGCAACCTGAACCCTAAAGCGGCGTGCCTCAAGAGACGCGAGGAGGAGAAGGCGGAGGAAGCGCCCAAACTATTAGCGCCCCTACAACACTACCCGCCCATGCCCGTACGTATACGCTCGCATTATTATAGTGTAAAGCATTGTTGTAGTGTAATATACACGGGTCATTTGTAAAACTCCGAAAGCCAGTTCAAATTTTTCTTAATATTTTATTTTAAACTAAAATGTCCTAAATTTGAAATTTTGTATAAGTATTGTTGCTTTAAATGAATGACAATTTCAATGTATATTATTTGATGTTAGCTGTTGCTATGTCAATTACTTTTTATGTAAAATTGGGCGTTGAAGCATTTTGATATTAATATCGGATTGGTATGTTGAGCAGGGTATGGGTCAGTTGCCGGGCCAGCCGCCAACAGGAGGGCCGCCGCAATAGCGACTCGCCGCCCCCCCTACGCACCATGTCCCCTCCCCCACACATAATACACTACACATACATAATACACAACATATACATAACACACACAGTACACAACACACGCCGCCCGACACTAGCCGCAGAACGCGCTAGCCTATAGCATTTATTACGCCACAACAATCAATGATAGGGTTCATTTTATAGCAGTTTATGGTCGAATTCTTGGTGCAACTGTCGTAAACAATAATTTTGGAAGAAGTATAATGCATTTTTAATACTGGACATGATTTGGATATGTTGTAACCACCTGTCTTTATAGTATTCTCACTCTAGTTAATACTTGTTATTGCATGTTTATTAACATTAAGTAAAAATGTATCTTCAGTTATAATAATCACGTAAAAGATGTTTACGCAGAAATGAATAAGAAATTCTGATATATGTTGAGGGTAGTAAAATTACATGTGCTTTAACAGCTCCGAGTGATGTCTCCATATTTTTTTATAGCTAATTCTGCTCTTTAGTTATCATAATAAATTGATGTCTACTCTACTCGCAATAATGCAATGAAATTAAATCTCCATTGCTATGCATTTAGGACGCAATTTAAAAAAAAAAATCATAATGACGTATAGTGTTCGGTGTCAATTCGTAACTTTTATGTTTTTTGATTGTGTAATGCACAAATATATATTTTAAACGCAATGTTAAACAAAGATTCCGCCTAATTAATTTTATAAAATGTATGATACAATACTTGCACCATTGATTTGGCCTTTGTCATTTTATCTATTTCCAGAATTTTATAACTGACTCAGGTAGTGTACAATAACTTTATTTGAAAATCTTGTGTTAGCATGATGACAACTATAATTATTTTAATGTGTATTTCTAAAAGTTACTTGACTGCTTATTTGTTAACTTTGACTTTTTGTTAATATGTTATTAATAAATAAGTGCCTCTTAAGGTTTATAGAACATTAATTAATTATCATTGGACTGATCAATAATTATTATAGTCATCATACTCTTACAACTCATATTGCTAAAATAGAAGCGTATCTTGAAAATTATATATTTATGAAGTTTCTTTTACATATATTTTTTTATTCATTATTCGGTATTTTTACCATGTTTTATATATAGAGTTTTTGAGATGCGTTTTTTTGTGTGTTTTATTCTTATTCTAATTAAAAGTACAAAAATATTGATTGTTGCGGCGTTACACTTAAAAAATGTAAAGGAAACCAGTGGTTAATGAAAATGTACAATTTTAATTATATTTGCAACAAAACACTCTGTAATTTTTATAAAGAAAAATATTAAGGCTAGTTTTATTGTCGGTTGTTTTATGAGTGAAATTGATGGTTGGCTTGTTCTTTATCGAAATTACGCGGCGTTTCCTTAATTGTATCAATTATGATATTTGTTTTTTACATATCAACGACAGTGCACATATAATTATTGTTTTAAAGAATAAATTAAAACGTTTTGTTATTTTTATCTATCCCAAAGAAATGAAGTGCGTAGTGACTGTAATAATCGGACTGTAGCCATAAGTGTGTATATTATTAGCGTATAGGCTATAGTTTTATAATTATTATTAAATAAATAAATAAAATAGTTATAACGAGATAAACAAAACGAAAGAACGCCATGATAGAGGAAAGAGCGAGATTTTTTCTGTTGAGAGATTTGAAAAAAAAATTGTCTTTAATCCAAAGACAAAAGAGACAAGGTGAGAAATCCTGAATTTTTGTAAAATATTAGCTTAGATTTACAATATTCTATGTATAGGTAGGTATATTATAGTTCCAACTATGAGAAAAGATATTTTTAATTACGATTTTAAAGATTATTTCTTTTTCATTTCGCTGCCATAAGCGTAGGTTTTAAGTCGGTTCGGAGTCCATTTTCGAGGGTCGAGATTTTTTTTCTTCGAAGAAATACAAAGCAAAGAGTTTTGTTTTTAAATAATTAATAATGTTGCCATTTACCCCCTGCTTTTATCTGTTTATTCGGGCGAAAACAGATTTACATTTTAAGTTTAGTTATCTGTAAGCTTGACAATAATTAGATAACCTCAATAATGGATTTGGAATCGTTTGAAAATAATTTTAAATGCGAATGCGTATGTGATTATTGCTGAATGAGACGAATGTGAAATATGTATGTAAAAAAAGTAATGTATGCACTTTTTGTTTGTGAGGCGTTATTGAAAGTATATCAAGAAACTTACTGAGAGAAATAATTTTTATTAGGATTATTTAATTGAAGTTTGTTTAGACGCATAATCGATTTCAAAACGTGGCACAGACAAAATGTCAAATTATGATGTACGTTTGTGAACGATGGAAAAGATGGCCGCTACCTTAAGAATGTACTTAAGTGAGGTTTTTTAGTTTCCTTACCAACAATAGTTTCACTTAAATAGAAAACTCCAGTGAAAAATTATTGTCATTATTATGTTTTGTTAGTTTTTGACAAAAACTTTACTTATATATTATATACATATATTTATTACTAAGATCCGGGAGATCATCGAAAAATTTTTTAGTATGTTTTTTATTATTATGATTTATATTTAAACGAATGTAATGCCCGCCCGACCAATTGAATCATGGTTTTGCTATTCTTCAAATGTTTTTGTAATTTCTGAGCATGCATAATAAATACATGTTTTAGACTTAATTTAATGAATTTGCATGTCAAGAAATTTACTTGAAATATTTCATGAATAATCGTGGCTTTGAAACACTGTGCGCTTATCGAAAAAAGTGTATTATTGTGATGACGCGTTGAAATTATTTTGTCACCAAAATGATAACACTGCGTTGAGTTTTCAATGTTTACTGCCACTCAGTATTGTCTATGTTATTGTGAAAAATCGTAATATGTTATTCGACTTTTTACTGTAAATAAAATCAAATTAAAGCTCAATTATTGATTGGTTACTAAAAAAACATATATGCTATAAATGATTACGTAATTAAATAAATTATTAAGTTGCATCCGTGTTAGGTCGTGGATAGTGGGCCATTTAAATTACATAATGAGACGTCACGCGTGACCTATTCATTGGATTGATTATCCAACACAGGATACCTGTATAAACAACTTACGTTATAGCCGTCTCTCTCTGATACGTATGTGTAAGAAGGAGATGACGATAGCTTTACCGTTGATATATGTTTAGTTTAGTCGGTACAACCTCGATATAGCGATTTTTTTCTTTACTAAATTAATTACAATAAAATAAAAACTACAATATGTACTAAAGTAACTTGTTACGACAAAGTACGATACTGTAAGTTTAACAACTACCCGACGTAATGTAATTTAGTTTTGGTTTTTAAACTGTATTATATAGATGTTAAGGTTGATTTTTGACTGTAATAATGATACATTGATGGCATATGTGACGATTTTATTATTAATTCAATATATAACGTTCTTCGTATGTTATGTGAATATTGCAATGCAACTATCGACAGCAAATCCTTGACAATTTGAATATGTATAGTTAAATGAACCTATACTTTGTGTAACAGAACTGCATTTTAAATTATAAAAACTCTATTTATATACTGAGTGTTCACTTAATATACGCGGAATTTGTTTTGATAAATGACACTAAAAGTCGCCGGTATCGAGCGCAGGCGACTTGCCACTCTGCGCACCACGACATAAAGTCCATATTTAAAAAGTTCAAAATATTTTTTTAGTATTCTATAAATAGTTATAAGCGTCACTTTAATGATTACTTTGAGCCCATTTAGTTTAGCTTAGTTGACCTTCTCTTCCATTTAGCGGTAAAAACTTAAGTTTTTTTTCCTTATTAATATAATAATTATTTTTTACTTTTGTTGTCCGTACATGAGTACGTATATTAAGATATCATTTTTTTGTAATCGGTACTTTAAATCCGTAATTTATTTTGAATTATGCTCAGTTTTTTGTGAAGGCACTGGAGGTATTTATTACACGTCCTGGCGATAGTGTAAATGAGGCTTATTTTGTTATTTTTCCCTTATTACGGTGGCAACACCGTTATCCAATCACACTGTATCAAAGAGCATTATTTGCGTTTTTTTCCAGTTCAAATGCATAGAATAAAAATGATTATAATTACAAGAAAGGTCTAATTATAAAAATGAATAATATTAATTAAATGTGCCATTCATTTTGCTAATTTTGTGTTTTGTTTTATTTGTCCTATGTAGAAATCATAAATCGTGGGTGAGGAGCACTATTTTGTAAATGACATGATTGATGTGAATTTCGTTACTTCTTATAAAGAGGTGGTATGTTAAAAACAAAAATATCAAGTTAATTAACCATGAATTCATAAACATCGTCGCAACCTGCGAGTATCCACCACTCTAGGGTACGCAAACGCAATGAATGTCAATAACTAAAATGTATTTTAACGCTCGTGACTACTGTAATCGAATATTCTAAGTCTCACATTATTGTGACGAAATATAATGCCGCTTCTAAAGTGAATTTGTATACCTGAGTGAATTCGGATTCCGATTTTCATAGAATCGCAGGACAGCACGTTAGGCTATACGTATCTGTTAAATATCTTCACTTTATTTTTAACCTTAATCGTTAAGGAGTAGCATTTAAAATATTACTCTCATCTCTCCTCCAGTCTGGAGGTAGCAATGTGTACACCAGCACGTCAGGCTGCCACAATATGTCGAATTGCCACGAGTGATTTTGTACTCTACTTACAAGAAATTAAGGTTTAAAATCAAGTGGAGAAATATGTCAGTTTTGTATAAACTGTACCTACAAAAACCTTTATCAGACTCGAAGAGTAGGTTATTTATGTAATAGATCAAAACGCTCACTACAGTGGCACAACTTTAAAACCATTATTTCGAGAAATCGCCACAGATAACCGCCATAGATAATTAAAAGAAAAAATTAAAAACTTTACAGTAATAATATAATACAAACGATTTAACTGTTATGCTAAAAAAAATTATTTTCATAATTATAAATATATTAAATTTTCATAACTTCGAAGAGCGTTTCTCGAAATTTTGGTTTTTGAGTTGTGCCATTGTACTATTCAGTGAGCGAAAAGAAGTCACTCCGACGGGAACAGTGCCATCCAACGATATGGCTACAAAATTAATATATAAATAAGGTAAGAACAGCGCAGCGCCATCTCGAAAAACGATTTAAAGGCATTTGTTTTTTTAATTATCAGTATTGGTCACCAAGGCTATCAGAATAGAATCGGTACTAACCATTACTACAATCTTTAAAATAATAAACCCTTAAATTAAAGGCATTTGTTATGACTAATCTGACAGATGGTGCCGGAGCAACGCCTTGGTGCTAAGTTTTAAAAGATATACGGCCAGTTGCAGTTCACTTTAAATTGGCAGAACTGTGCGAAATGCGCAGATAAGCCATTAATAAAAGGAGAAAAGCAACTCTGTAGTTTATAGCGAATAATCTTATGTATTTATCTATGGTCATGACCCAGACTATTTAATAAATAGTTCTTGCTACATAAAGGCTCATTTTTCTACGAATTTAAGTATAACATGGCAATTTGTCCCTTTCGCAACGAACTGATAAAAAGGGGACAAGATGAGTCAATAATTGATTTTAAAATGTAAGAGGGGGGAAACAACACTAACTCAATCGGAGCTGCTCATATGGTTTCTACCAATCTGAGTACCGATCGGAGGACTAATAACCCGAATAGGGTGAAGTCGCCAGCCTGGTGATCAGTTTCATAGGCTAGTATGACTGGTATAGTAAGTTCCACAGGAATCAATTGAGGTAAGCTCTAACTAAAACGGCGTATGATAAATCTTCGTTTGCATAGATTTACATTGCAGACCTAAAAATTCCGAAGATTATCGAACACACGATTAAAATTCTTAATGAGCCTTGTTACAATAATAAGGTGTGTACTATGCATTCATTGTACGTATCACCAACACTCAGCAGGGATCACTCGAAAAGGTAGGTATTGGTGGATCGCCCAACGGCGTTATACTCGAATCATTCTAATTGACCTTTGTCGCTCTTGAAAATTTATTAATCTTATTATTTTTAGATGAACTTTATCAATAATATTTATTTTATAATATCCGTATATGTTCGAGCCTCAGCAACCTAATGATCACAATCAGAATGCAAAAGGAAAGATTTCAAAATAATAAATTTAGTCGTGACAATTTCAAAGCTTATTCAAAAATTTAATATGTATCTGGCTTGTGGACAATAAAAAAGCCAAGTTACAAACAATACATTTTATTATATTATAATAATGGGAATACAACGCCGATTCTCGTGTATATATATATTTATCTCCTCTCTGTCTTGCCGACTCCTCGTTTGCCAGCAAACAAGTGTTTCGGCATCTTGGTGCCAATAAATCTGTCTGCTTCGCCTTTGAGACCCATCTTCTTGGTTTTCTTGGCAATGGCCACGTGAGCCATGTTCTTCGCTTTCTTTTGCATCTGCAAAGAAATAAGTAATGTAGATCTTGTGTGTCATTATATTTTTTTATCAGTCAATAATTTGTCGTATGTAAAGGGTTTTTAAGATTAACATTTTGATGTTTTGATGGTCACTAGTAGTATACTCTATATGTTTATTGTTTTATCAATAAATACCTTGAAACATAAACGACTAATATATAGCTATAGCCCCTACTATAATGCCTAGTTTGTCTGGAGGATAATCCGTGACTGGTTATGAAACAAATGTAGTGTATTTATATAATATAATACTCACAACAGTATCCTTGACCCCCTGTGTGTCTCTTGCTGGTCTGCTGATGGATCGTCCGCTGGAGTCAGCTCGAGCTCGCTTGCTGACCATGGACATAGAACGGGACCGGGACCGAGACCGCGTCTTGGTGAAGTGAGCCTGCTCTGTCTCGGACATGTCCACACCTGGACAACAACACAACATTATTGATGACTTTCATACTGTTCACAACCTGAAGCGAAATAGCTATTATCCTTGTGGAAAGAGGTTCAAATCGAAACTTAAAAATGGCATCACATTAAGAATTATTATGGAAAATATGATGTACAATTTCGTACATGTATATTTATTTTAATATTAGACGCAATCATATATATTGCTCAGATTTCTGGATGCCCTTGGTATTATGGAGTATCTGAGACAACAAAGGTATCCCCCACCCCAACACCTAGAACCGAGATAATCTAGAAAAGTTCATTTTCTACATTGACCCGACTGGTATCGAATTGGGGACCTTAAAGATGGCGACACTATAAAACCGATGTGCAAAGTACTCGGCTAAGGAGGTCGAATTATATAGTATATATATTGACTAACCGAGTTTCTCCATCTCCTCTCTCAGCTTGTGCGTAGATCTGTCTCGCTCCCTCGCGCGCGTATTCCGCGGCATCACAGGTTTAGTGGATTGTTTCACGAGACGAGACTCGTCCTTCAAGATCGCCTTCTTGTTGCTAAAAAATATACAAAACAAGTCAAACATTGTTATATTACCATTGTATAAGTAATAATTGTCTTAAGGAAGAGTAAGAAAACTCTTTAGAAGGCTACTTTACTGTTTTGGGAGAAACATTTTTAATATTTCATTTTAAACTACTATAAGATTTATTTTTCTCCAAAGTGATATCAAACAAAAGAAAGACATATTTTTATTCATTTACTTAAATTGTGTCTCGAAAATAATCAGACACGTAACGTCACATTTCAACAAAAACGTTGACGATTTGTTTATTGAAATGTGACGTCAGTCACCCGATACTCCATCCTGGTCGACCACGTTCCAGTTCTTGTAATCCTCAAATTATAAATCGCAATTTTTTTAGCAATAATAAAACACACTTACATTAACACAAAATTACTACACAATTATTGTTTACATCTAAGTTACCATTTCCAAGATAATTCATAATTTATTGTCATAACTGTTAAGTAATTATTTTCCACCTGAACTCATTATGTGATATGTATCAGGTGTTCTGTATGTATATGTAATAGTCAGTATACTTGTTATATCGTACCGTATCTGTCTGGCTAGTTCCCTGATTTCCCTCATGGTGTCGTCTAGTTCTATCTTGGGGACGGCATACATGCCGGCCTCTTCCCTTAGCTCTTCGTCCTTCTCCAACTCTGCCAACTTGTCGAATATGTCAGGGTCGATGTAGTCCGCTATGTTATGTCCCTCCCAGAACTCGGGTATGGGATCGTGACGTTCCTCCTCTGCTATCTCCGAATAATTCTTCTGTAGATCTATACACAGAAGGAAAAAAATACAATATGAAGTTAATAATAAATCATTATCATTCTCTTAATATCGTCACAAATTGGACATGAGTTCAACACTAGTAAATCCATAATGTCCATCCATCCATAATGGATTTAATTATGCTTATTTTTTGAAGATAATATTACCATTTATATTGTGCTATAAAATAAGAAATCTACCTTGTCTTACTTATGAAACTTTCTTAAAACTTATTAATAATTTAAGAGTCTTATTTGAGACAGTGAATTAATTCAATTAGCTTTATAACACTTTATTTTGAATTAACAGAAGGAAGAAGTTCTCAATACAGTGCTTCTTCAAAAGTATTTTTATTACAGATGATAATAAACATTTAGACTAGCTTCGCCCATTCACGTTGCCTTGGCAGAACATTTATCTCAGGGGAACTGTTTAGTGGGATCAAATGTAGACTATTTGTTAATCCATACTTAGAATTACCTTTATACGAAATTTCATAAAAATCCATCTATGTAGAAGTTATTGCGTGAAGAAGTAAAAAAGATACAAACTTTCGCTTTTATAATGTTTATAAGAATTGTGTCTCACCAAGCACATAGTCGTCTCCCTGCTCTAGTTCTATCTCCCTCTCTAGCTTCCTCTTCCTGTTCTCTTTGTTGAGAGCTTGTTGTTTCTTCAGTAGGACGGCAGGAGGGATCACTGGGGGACGAGATTTACCGTCACGGGGGGCGGGCACTGCCACGTGAAGACGATTCAATATACCATCCACCTACAAATATATTTTAATTTTCAATAAATTTCCATATAACTAAGAACTTTAAATACTCTTTGGCTTGAGAGTGAAATTTTGTAAGAAAAAAATAAATATTCTCCGTTCAAATTAATGAAAACTATATTCTTTTGTAATACGGAACACTAAGTTGGATTATACCTATCACAAGAATACATTACAATTCTTAATATTATAAATAAGAACTTTTCATAAATTAAGATTACTCAGTATAGATGTAGGGTGTACACATTATGTGGTTGTAACGGTAAGTTAATAACTGATTTACTTTTTGAAATATGTATTAATAAACTTGTTCCAGACATGGGTAATGCATGCAGCGTATATAACGCTACTTGCGACCTTATGTCAGGTATACTGTAGGCCGCGTTTTGACTGACACAAAGCATTAACTCTAGTCAGCTTCGATCGGGCCAATAAACTATAGGAAAAAAATCTACTAATATTGCAAAAGACTCATATGCCAAAGACAAACACTAAATAATTTTGGTTAAACTACTTTAAAGAAAACGAGCATTCGTTTACCTAATAATCGTTGTCAAACTTTATGTTCCAATAAATATTTTTTTACGATATAAAGCAGGTTTCGCAAGGGGTTATAGGGTGGATAACCAAAATAATTAAAGGGTGCATTGATCCTATCGATAAACAAGTTTGGCGGCCAGCAGTGGGCAGTGGGACGACTTACCTTCTTGGTCCTCATCTTCTCGGTGACTCTGTGTCCCAGCAGCCTCTCGCATGCTTCTATCTTCACCTCTTGCACTCCCTCCTCGGTCACCGTGGACATCCGCAGTACCGGCACCACTGATAGCTCCGAGTTTGAATCCGCACTATGAATCCACGCATATATATTCTAATTATTATATAAATATTCAATATCATCACGTTTTCATTTAGAAAATCATGTAGCCAAGAGCAAAAAGACAACTATATAGGCTGAGAATCAAACAAGAAATCTCAGAGTTATTCAAGCTGATGGATTAATAAATGCCATTAAACCATAAGAAGTTATAGATATATTTTTATTTTGCTTTTGAATCATTATCATATGTATTATGACCAATGAAGAGGTTACATAACATTTTTCAGATGCACTGTAATAATAAATAGAGATGATAAAAATAAACATGGTTGTTTTATTTATTTATTAGGATAAATATTCGTTTTATTTGTATATCAATGCGTGATATAAAACTAATTCTCTGCTGTTGTTTCATCTTTGTCAGATTCTAAACATAAATGCAATTTTCATTCATTGCTTTCCTTGAAGATGGTTTATAATTCCTGCAAAAGTTTATGATGACTTACTTGACCAGGTTCCCGTTAGTGCAGCTATCCATTAGTCGTTGTAAAGCCGCCTTCTTGTCCTCGGGCAGCTGCTCCGGGGTGATGATGTCCATCTTGTTCAAGACAACCAGTAATGGCTTGTTGGCAAACAACGGCTTTATACTCTCGAACAGGGAGATCTGAATCATAGACAAATATGCAACATTTAATATAAATACTAAAAACTAAAATCTTATAATGAAAAATACTTGAAAAGATAGATCTCGGCAAGCTTTGTTTATATTTTTATTTTATAGATATACATGAAATATAGTGTGTTCATAAGTTTTGAGACGAAATAAAACATTTTTAATAATAAACTTATATTTCTCAGATTTTCAGTAACCATTAAATAGATAATAATCAACAATAAAATAAATATTTTATTCAAAATGACCGCCCTTGTTTTTAATACAGGCCCTTAAGACGATTTGGCCAGTTCAATGGCGCCACAAATGTTTTCTAGCGGATTTCACTTTGCTTCTCGATCAAGGGTTCGCTTCAGTGACTCCAAGTTTGGGTAGGACTTTCGACAGACCCTAAGCTCTAATTCAATCCATAAAGAATAATCCAGCGGGTTGAGGTTGGGGCTGGAGGAGGGCCAATCGTCCGCCGCGATAAAGGCCGGCACATTTTCCCTCAACCAAGCTTGGGTGCTTTTTGCTAATAGGATGGCGCAGCGTCTTGCTGAAAACCTAATCCTTATTGTGAAATAACGTATCAGACAGAGGTTTTATCACGGGCTCTAAAATGTCACCTTGATAATTCTTGTGACATTTTAAACTTTTCAGCTCGCGAAATGTCTGCATCGGTTTAAATTGCGAAATGACAGTTGCACGTAATTGTTTCGTTCAATATAAACAAATGAATTTTCGATATAAATAAAACATTAATGTTAACATTCCAAATTCAAAATCGGTAAAAAATAACAGGCAGTAACATTTAATTTTATTTTTTCAGTAAAAAGTTTGTCTCAAAACTTATGAGACACGAGGTATTTTAGAAAAAATAATTTAAAAAGTATCATTCATGTAAGAAGTGAAAATCTAAAACAAATTTAATTTTCAAAATTTCCCGCGAAATCGCCACTTCTGTCATAGCATTGCTATGACGTTACTGCCCTCTGAAACTAATATCGTTATGGGTATGCATAAGGTTGAATTTTCTATATTCTGCTATGAGCTTGTCTTTTTCTAATAAGCATAAAAGTGTGATTATCGATAATAGTATATTGAACACTACCAGAAAAAAATAAAATGTTTTTATTTACGTTCTCTGTCTACACCGTATTAGGTGACTGCTCTCGGAAATTAGTAAATATTAATATTATAATTACTTTATTAATAGATCTTGCAAACTTTTTACCTTCTTATAAATCTTTAAAAAATATTATCTGGGTTAAAAGAATGTTTAAAAAAATGTAAAAACTAAAATTAAAATGGAAAAGGAAGCCTTTCTTGTCATATCAGTAGCAGTTACTGACGGACTTGTCCCTAACATGGGTAATGCATGCAGCGTATATAACGCGACTTGCGACCTTATGTCAGGTATACTGTAGGCCGCGTTTTGACTGACATGAAGCATTAACTCCAGTCAGCTTCGATCGGGCCAATAAACTATCGAAAACGAATTAGAATATTATACAGAGAAAAGAACAAGACGCTAAAGAGGTTAACATGATTTAAAAAAATATATCGTACCAAAAGGCTATTATTTTTAAATAGTAAACGATTTCTTTCCTAAAAATCAATTAGAATATTGTATCCTTTCAACTGGAAAGTATCATTTCATCTCGGTCATATAATTTCCTCACATATTAACATCCTCCTAACATCTTTATCATTATATCAGCTTCTAATTAAATGTGTACCTTTACAGTGTAAACGTAGGTACCATTATTACAAAATTATAATACCTACAATCGTTGACAGTATGAAACAGCTGATTATTTTTTCGTGAAATTACTGTTGCTTCCATACTAAAAGTTGTTCAGTATTCTTAACTTTATATTTATATTTATTTATTTATTTTATTACACCTTACATATGTATAGTATAGCAAACGTCGCCGAACAGAGAGAATTTCTTATAGTGACACGGAGCTATACATATTACTATTGCGCTCGCACAGATGCATCTAGTCAATTTTGTCACAATAAAGTGAACCTAAAATGTTAATGATATCTCTTTATACCTACTGGTATATAGATCTACGTACTAAATTCTATCTATTCGGCGACCGAAGTCTATTGATGTATTGTTACCTGTTCATGAACGGTGTGTCCGCACTGTTCGGAGGCGTCCATTACGTAGAGCACGCATGCGCGCAGGTGAGCGAGAGCGGTGACAGCTTGCATCTCTATCACGTTACGTTCCTCCAGCGAGTGATCCAAGATGCCCGGCGTGTCTATCACCTAAAACATACACGTACACTCTTATCTGCTTCTGACAAGGGCCCAATGCACATTGGTGGGTATTTACAACTCCAAATGCAGACAAAACTAGCGACTTGATGTTTCATCCGAAGCACGAGAACCTCAGTGTAACGGTCCATTTATACGAGGCCAAAAGTGGAGACAATCCAAATCACAAAGCCTGTCCAGTATTGACCTCGTGTAAACGAAGATATACTTTAAGCGAGTTCAATAAACTAGAATGGTTTCTAATTTTACTGGATCGGCTCGGCTACTGAGTTTGTGTAAATAGTCCCTAACATATTTTTTATGACCCATCCTAGGACCGGTCCTTACGAACATTTTCACAATCCAGTTGAGATTTTTACATGATCATGCATTTATAAATGGAAGTTTTCCTCATTACCAATGGTAAAACTAGTACTCTGGAAAACAATCCATTCTTTTCATAATCTTCTAACTGTGGTAAAGAATGACCAAAAGAGAATTTTTAAAACTGGGATACTGAAATAATATTTTTAGTAAATCCACGTACCTGCCACCTGAGATATTTGTAATCAGTGTGACCCACATACAGACTTTTGGTTGTAAACGCGTACGGCTGCACCTCCACATCAGCACGAGTTATCTACAAAAAGTACAACACTAATAATTATACATATAATATATAATATTAACTAATACTATCACTAACTAATAATTGTCATATATGTATAGTGGAATCATGTTTATAAACCAATGTACCTGCGCAGAAATTTTATTTTTAAAAGGCGTGAAAAAAATTAAGCCACATTCGAGTCATGTTCATATGACACGTGTCGACAGTCGCTAGTTGTACTACAACAGTGAACCTTAACGTAACCAATTAAAGTCTATATATCAAAGATGTTGGTACTCGTATTATATTCTATCGGTTATAATTAGCTCCCATCCCCACAAGCTAGTTCCTATGTCGCATATAAAATGGTAGTAATGTACTTGAATAATAATACACCTCAGTTACCTCTTTTCAATATAACTTCAACAAATTTCATCAATGTCAGTTTCAGTAATAGTGTATAATTATGTGTAGGTGTGTGTTCCTGACGAGGGTAATGCATGCAGTGTATATAACGCTACTTGCGACCTTATGTCAGGTATACTGTAGGCCGCGTTTTGACTGACATGAAGCATCAACTGCAGTCAGCTTCGATCGGGCCAAAAGAATCCTAATCAATTAGGTTTAGTACTGCAGAATTGTAACCTCCGATTTTATATGAATAATGACTATGGACTTTTTATGTCTTAAACATTTCAAAAACTTGTCAGGTAGTTAACACACGAGAAATAACAATCATACTTTTACATTTTCAATACAACCAAATCGAAATCATTTATTCTGTTCTGACTGTCATAAATATCTGACAAAGTTCAAAAACTACGTCGTCATTACGCAAACTGCGACATTTACTGAAAAGAACTAACTAGAAACACAGCAAGAGTCTGTTATCTGTTAATGAAACTTCAAAATGGGCACCTGTCAAATAATGGATCTGACAATTTAAGAACCCGTAAGATATTATAAAGAAAATATATCATGGCCTCAATTCTGCTATTTTCAACAATCGTATCTCAATGAAACGTCAACTAGGTACTTGCATTTTACCATTGTATATTTTCTAACTGAAGTTCAATATTATTAGTGCAATGTGTTCTTCACAAATAATCTTAATTCAAATAGACTTCTTAAAAGTACTTTTGAATCATCCAACATTTTTTTCCCTACCACTCGTTCAGGACGTCTTTTGGCTGATAAGAAGAACGAGCAAGAAACTCACCAGCTCTAATAAGAGTAATGACATTGACAAAACCATGTCATTACCAGATCAATACATTATAAACAGAGATAGAAAAAAAAACTATGGTCTTATAATGATAACATAATCATTTAATAATAATGGAAACAAGATAATGAGTTTAGAAGTAATCACCTATCCAGTTGCTGGATCATCTCAACTCCAAGCATTCTTATCTGTTATATAATCGGATACCGTATAATAAGCTTTTTTAATAAGTATTTTTTAATAGTAGATTTAAACTGCATGATATCTAATTGTTGTATTTTGCTTGGGACCTTATTGTAAATTACCCTAACATTAACAGAATAGCCCTACATGTATGTTGTTATAATATTATCATACCTTGTTGATGAAGCTGGACTTGCCAACGTTGGGGAACCCGCAGATGATGATCGTACGTGTGTACGGATCGATAGACGGCAACCGGGACAAGTGCTGACGAACCTGACGCAAACAAACACATATATATGGCGGGTTACACTAATGTGTTGCACTGGTTCTAAAAACATGATATAATTACATAAAATGTTAACACTAGATTCTCAATTGTACACATTACTTAAACTATTATTTATGGTTGTTAAAGAAACTTATATTTTGTATTTATTAAAAGTGAAAGGAGAGGAGGGTCAATTCACTATTTTATAAATTAATGATCAACTGTGAAATCAACTTGAGAATGCTCAGTTAAAACGTTAAAATTTAAAAAGAAAATGTTTAATAAAATGTTGCAAAAACAAATTAGAGTGGAGTGAAACTCTATAATTTATTATAGAAATAAATAAAATAACATTATATTGATAAAATAACAAGATTCATACAAATGAACATATTACTCGTTCGAGTTAACATGACACTTCGCTTGAAAGAAGTGTCTACAAAGTACTGCGTGCAAAAAGGTTGCGGGCGACAGATAGCGTGCTTGCGCGGGCCGCGGTTGCGCGGTAAGCGCGTCTGCTTATTAGTACAATTAGTGAATGAATGAAAAAATGTTCAGAAAATATCTAATAATAAACGCTACGTGTTTGACTTTGTGTAAGACAAATTAATAAATAAAATTTTATATATTTTCTTAAATTTATTAGTTTTGTATAATATTACGTTTTTATAATTATTTATATAGGCAGAATTATTTATATATGGGATTTTTAACCTTTTTTTTGCTTTACTAAGTGAACACATTTTTAAAATACTTCAAAGTTGTAAAGGAGGAGGTTCTATGTTCTCGGTGACATATTTCTTTTTTATTGCCACACGCGTTGTAAACTACTTTTTCGCTCAATTAGCGATTTCGATCTTTGAACGTAACATATGTTCACCGATTTTTCCGAGAATTATTGTTACTAAAAATCTTATTATATTAGTATTTTATGCATCATTTATTTTTAATTATTGAAATCGCACAAGCAAATTAACGTTAATAAAAATAATCCGACGACTTATCACTTAAAATGAATAAAGAAGACTTGATCACAATATCAGAACAGTTATGAAAGTTATAAAATGTAGAAAAAATATTATCCATTATCCTCTCTAAATTAGGCTTAAAATATCAATAACATTAAAAGAGGGTATTTTGAAAATAATTGACATTCTTAAACTAGCCATTGCAAAAATATCTTTTTAGTGGTCCTAAATCTTTTCGGCGGCCATACAAAACCACCGAAACGATAACCACCGAACGGAAAAATGTAGATTAAAGAAGGATAAACAAAACATATTTTAGATTAGAAGTAATACACTATATATTTGTATTATGGGTGCATTATTTACGATGCCAATACAGTATTATTGAACTTTGATTGAAAACATACAAAAAAAAAATACAGTAACCGGAGATTCAATTAAGTTTTACAAAACAACAAGATTAAAAATACGCGACACGTCTTTAGTCTCTGTACAATATTGTCACAAAATATGGCCGTCACGTGAGTTTGGAACTGTCACACGAAATGTCAAATGGAAAAAATGTACACAGAAACCGTATATTTATAAGAATATGCGTCATTTTAATTGTACCACCGAAAAGTCAAACCTTCTATGCGACAGATGACAATGACTTGTAATTTTTATTTTAAAAGCATTTAACATAATTTGCCATGATAAGAAATAAAATAGATTTCACTCAGAACCATCTTAAATAAACAAATCAAAGAAAAGGGTAATATTTCAATTATTCATCTAGTTAATTATTTGATTAAGCGGTATTACGACGGACCACCAAAGCGTCCTTTTAAAACGTAATAATGAAGAAATTATTAGCATTTTTAATTGTTAACGATTACAGGGTGCAATGAGCCATACTTGTTTATTTTAAATTCATAGTTCTGTTTATTTATTTTTATTTTAAAATTTTAAATATACGTTTGGGACAAAAATAGTGACCATTTTGACAATGACCCATCAATTAAAAAACGAATATCATATTTTGGAATTATGCAAAATCGAAAAGGAAGCATTTCTATTTTCAACGGGTTTGTTTATTTTTTGTGAGTAGGTGTTCACCGATTTATTTTAAAACTCATAATGTTGACATATTTTTATATAAATATTTAATATTTCTCAAAAAATAAAAGCAACGTTTAGTATTCATTCATACAAAAGCGGAAAGTTTAGTATTCATTCACCACAATTTGCCACTTGTGAATTTTGAGTATTAAACTTATTAATAAATGTGTGTAAAGTGGTATAATTTTCCTTGTGTAAAATAATGAGATTTGTTTTTAACTATCCGGTATCCGGCCGGATATTGGCACCCTATCCGTTATTCGACCGGATAGTAAATAATAAGGCCGGATAGACTTGTTACCGGATAGTAACCGGATATCCGTTTCATCTCTCATATAAACACTGTACATTAGACTTCGGTTTTCGAAAGTGACCGAAGTAAATGTTTGATGTCATTGGTGAAATAATTTAAACAGTTCTATTTCGACGGAAAAAAACTAGAAATAATAATTATGGCTAAATTTTAAGTTTAATCGTGTTACTATAATCTTTCTTTTATTTCAGACAAATCACTTTCATTGTCATTTTTAGTTTACAAAAATCCAATAACAATAGCAGCAAGATAATGTTCATTAATTAATAACGACAAAATATAATTCTGTCGAAAATTTAACAGTGCAAACACGTGTATAAAACGCTAATTGTTATGCTGTCGCTACTGAAAGGCGACGGCGGGGTGTCGCGGGGTATATCAAGTTCCGAGCCAGGTGTCATGTTAACTCGTACGAGCAGTAAATAAGTGTTTGCCTAAATATTTATGTACAATCAACAGTTACAGGTATGTTGTCATCACAGGAGGAACTGGACTGGACAGGGTCAGGAGTATCACGGGTCAGCTGTAATACCTGTTCAAGATATGTGAGGTTGGCAGCCTGCCTCTTCATGATTGTTGCCATCCGACCAAGCGCAGCACGTTTTAGCTGCTTGCAGCGGTACAGTGAGTCTCCATACTTCAGTAAACGAACATAATCTTTTGCTACACTGGGGAATACATCAATATGATCTTACTTCAATCTATCATCTTCAATAATACTTAAATTGTTACTAAAAAGGGGTTAAATAGATAGGATTATAATAAAATTTCTTAAAAAAATGTAAGCCAGTCCTAATTTTAAAACATTCCGCCCGAGCCATATTCATGTGATAATTCCCGAAAGTCGCGAGTTGGATAACGAGTGTAAACCTTAACGAAACGTAATAAAAGCTTCTGTGCGGGCAGGTGACGATGCCGCTTAAGTAATCTACATATGTACTTAATAGATCGGCGATATTGGGAGATATACATTTTGAATTTCGCGCGCTATCGCCGCGTTTAATTCGTTCATGTAAACGTATTTGTGTGTAATTTTTCTGTAATAATTGTGATAATCTTCTCTGTCCGTATCTGTATCGTACCAGCGATACTTTTTTTCAAATATCGGTGTCGTATCGGGCGACATGCGTAAACTTAAATAATAATACACTTCGGTTAATTCCTTTCGATTCAATATCAAACCAATATTTTATCAATGTCAGTTTCAATATAAGAGTAATGTTTATAGTATAAGTGTCCCTAACATGGGTAATGCATGCAGCGTATATAACGCGACTTGCGACCTTATGTCAGGTATATATACTGTAGGCCACGTTTTGACTGATGTGAAGCATTAACTCCAGTCAGCTTCGATCAGGCCAAAAAAAATATTTATAAGATTTGAACATAGTTTCTTCAATGTATATTTACAAAATATATAAATACAGTAAGCCCATGGTAATCAGACAAATGCTTTACAGAACAATGACGGATTATAGAATACTGCCTGCCTGAGACTTATACTCCATTCATTATAGCATTAGACAGAATGAAAATAAGGTTCTTTTTATGGTATACTTTGTGACAAAATGTCAACAATCATGTTACTCTTAAGACTAACGGCTAATTTGCTACATATCCACTTAAATACCAGCTGCTATACTTAACCGTAGTCTTTTAAGCTATATAGTAAACAAATTTATGAGTATTTGACTGACTTAAAACATTCAATAATTATTACAATAAAAAGTGTTCATCTTAAAGAACCTAAAGAAGCAGGATTAGATAGTTTCGGCATGATTCTCATGTCACTATAACTCTACCAAATTTAAAATGTTGCGTTTGGCATCTTTACTTCCTGTTGCCGAAGACGCGGGTTAACAGAAAGTAGGTACAAAAATGTAAGTGTTTCATAAGAAGTGTGAAAATAAATAAATTTTGATCTACAATCAACAGTGACAAGTGTGTCAGAATCTACAAGTTGCTGGATTAGATTGGATTATTTTTGATTTCATAGGATTTTTTCTTTTAATATAACATAGATTCTATACCGTGTCATAAAACTAAGAAAATATAAGACTTGGACAGAATATATTTGGAACCAAAAACAAATATTTAGACAAATGAAAAATAGTAAAAGATGCAGAATATGCCAGATACCGAATAACAAATGAATATTCGGCGCATCTCTTATCAAAAGCATACCAAGATAATTGATTCATCATAGGTATATGTTATCCAGAAACAATAATGGTTATTTTACATAATTAAGTAACAGAAATATGTAAAAATCTATTTAAAGTATAATTCACTCTTCACTTACGTGTCAATAAGATGCCTCGCTGTGTTGAGCTGACCGAGACCAAGCTTGTAGTGATCTTTGTCATACAATACATTCATGAGGTCAGCATAGAAAGGATGTACATCATCTAGTTTTGGAAACTCCTGATGAACAAAATATTATTTATTAATTTTAGATTTATAAAATCAGTTTAGATTTATAAAATCAGTTTAGATTTATAAACCGATGGCAAATAATTTAAACCAAATAAAATATTTTGAATATCAGTAAAATGGCATTTGATACAATACAATTTGATTATTATATAGAAATAATGAAAAAAATATTATTTTTGTAAATACCAAGTCTTTCCTACCATGATATCAAGTACTAATAAAAATCTGTATCAAATAACCAAAAATGCAAGGCATTATTACTCCTAATCAATAAAAATAAATAGTGTTTATAATATTAAAATAACCACTTTTCACTAAATTCATATGTATACATGATAAATTCCAAAAAATATAATTTTTTATCCATCTGTTTGTTCCAGGTAATCTTCGAAATGGCTGGACCAATTTCGATGGGACTTCCACTGTCAGATAGCTTATACAATAAGGGGTAACTAAAGCTACTTTCCATACAGACAAAGTCGCGGGCACAGATAGTCTATCTATAAACCTAGATACATCAGTGTGGATATTCTGGTATGGTAATTTGCCTAGATCTTTTAGTGCAATACAGTAATATGTTGTGCAATAGAGAAACAACAAAATAAAACCTAGTCCATATACCATGTGTGGTGCAGTAACTGTGAAAATATTTTGACATACCCATGAAATAATAACATATTTAGATTTTGACAACAAGGTTAGTGTTAGTTTTGATACAAAATATTACAATACGGTTTTGCTGGTAGATTTGATAATCATTTATCAGAAAAAAATAAAAATATTTAAAACAATGTCAAAAAGGTAAGTTGTATATTATTTATTATTTTCCAATTTTAATTTGCATTTTTCGAAACACCAGAGTATAGATGTAAAGGGTATAAAAAAACTTATTTGGTTTAATAACACGATTCTTTTATACTTAAGAAATACAAACCTGTATTATCCTAGATAACCTATCATGAAAGTTTTGTTGTGTATATTTCACTTTTCTCATATAAAAAGCACGTATTCTGGAAATTTTATAATGCTTATGTACAACGGTAGGGGTTTTTCTTTGCGTCTTAGATAATATGATATCAATAAAGTCCTGAAAAAACAATAGGTACATGTTTAGGGGTTATGAACTACATAAACAAAATTAACAATATAACGAGTAATCTAGCAAAAATATATAAATTACCTTTGCTGTAGGGACTACAGCTATTTTCTTAAAGTTATATAAACTCATTTTGACTTATTTTATTGCTATTTCAAATATAAAAAGCACTCTGACGAGTGCATCACGCCAACACGTGTTCATAGAAGAATAAAAAGGAAAAAATTATGACAGCACTCTGTAAGTTAGGATTGGCTAAAAATATCGGTATATCAAAATATCGATATATTTTTTTTATAAATTGATATAAATCAGCTATATTTTTCAGACAAATACTGTTTTGTTAAAATAATGTACTTTTTGTTGTGTGTTTTCTTGGCCGCTTTGTTGTTATCTTGGCTTTATGTACCTATTTTGAAAAATAAAACTGACGTGTATTTGCTTTAAAATTTCAAATAATTTGTCAATTTTTATAGTATAGTAATCGTATATTGCGCAGAAATTATCGATATATTAACATAACGATATTTTTAGCCAATTTTATCGATACATTTGGAAATTATTGATTCGATATATATCGATACTTTTATCCCATTTGCCCATCCCTAGTAGTAGTTTTGTCCATGAGACAGGCGAAGGAACTAAGTCATAAGTGAGTCATACAGCCAAATCTTGAATTGACAGCACTCTGACATTTTTAAGTAGATTTTTCAGTATAGGAAAGGCCAAATGGAAGAAAATAGGCCGTAGCCATATCTTTAATGATTTTCTTTTAAGTTACATCTACAACTGCTGGTACGGTTTTTATATTAAGATGAAGAATCTTTGTTCATAATAGTTATTGTCCAAAACTATTATGAACAAAAAGTAGCTCGGTGGCGTAGTGGATAAGCGCCTCGGCACGCGATTGTAGTCGTTAAGCAACTTTCGCAAGGGTCCAAAAATGACCAAAAAAGTGACCAAAAAATTATTATCTCGAGCTACTACGTGCTTCGGAAGGCACGTTAAGCCGTTGGTCCTGGCTGCATTTGCAGTCGTTAATACCCTCCAATCCACATTGGGCCAGCGTGGAGGGTCATGGCCCATCCTCCTTAACCATCCATAAGGAAGCCCCTGAGCCCCTGCAATGGGGACATAAAAGGGCTGGTGATGATGACTGTCCAAAAAGATGTTGAAAACTATAGACTTAATTCATAACAAGGGGTAAAATTTTGGACAGCTGGCAATACAGTATCAATTACCCATTATACCATTCAATCGGTCATTCGCATATATTTTATCTTTGTTTAATTTGACGTATAGACGTAGATATGAGGGAGACAAAAATACAAAACACACGGCATGGCACGCCATCCACATGGATGCCAACCAGAGTGTTTGATCACAAAGGTTTGTTTACTGCCCTGCGATTCTTTAAAAATTCAGACCCGAATTCGAATTCACTCATGTGTCCGAGTTCACGTAATTTAGTGAAGAAATTCCATTTTTTGTATAAAAATACGAAACATACTTGTCACAGATATTCTGCTTCTATGTCATTTCGAAACTCACTATTACCACTTATTAGCAACTCAGGGTTGAGCGATGGTTGAGCGGATGCCGCTTTTTGAAGTGAATTCGAATTCGAATTTGAATTTTCACGGAATCGCAGAGCTGGTTGTGAACCATTTGCAAGTATTTTACAAACAGACTCGTCGTCCGATGCGTTTGGTCGAAGAATACCTACCGTTCATAGAGAACGGTAATATACTGTTGGATTACGCGATCGGACTGTTGTCACATGTAAGAATTACCCGTAATTATAGAATTATATAGCAATTTTTATATGCGTACAGATTTTGAATTATAAATATCGGAACATTTGGTCGGCAACCGTGTGGATAGCACGCCTCGATGTCCGATTGTCCGACCATGGTCACTTTGGTCGGAGCTTTGGTTGGTAGAAAACGTTTTCTCATATTGTAACATTTATTTATAATGTCATTGTCATTTAGTGCAAATTTTCTTCCCAGGATTTGTGGTTTGCAAGGTTATAATTTTTAAAATTTAAATTGAAAACAATAAGAAATAAAACATTATTCTTAGTTACGTAAAAAGTGCTCTATTGTGAGTTGAGATATTACTTCGCACTTCAAAATTCGTAAGTATAATATTGCATCAAGTTTCATTTGTTTTACAAGTATGTCAATCAAAGAAACAATATCGATAGCCGAGTGTATTTCAATAGTATTGAAGCGTTACTAAATCTATTGATACTAAGGAATAGGGTAAGGACCGGCTCTAATTATTTCGTGCTGTATAAATGTAATTTATACATTAAAACTTCACTTAGTTTCTAGCTGCTCATACATACCTCCTCAAAGGTATTGTTTATTCCTTAACAGTTTTTAATCACGTTTTACATCAAGTAAATTTTAGTCAAGAAAATTTTTGGCAAATTTTAAACAGGGTATAGAATGTTTACTTACAATATATATATAAAAAAAACTTATATCCAGTCATAATCATTTAAATAATGATTTAGGCTGTTCTATTTTTTAAATTCGTTTATTAAATTTTATATTTATATGATTGCCCTTATTTGTTTATTTAATTAATGAAATAACCAATGAAATTATTTTCAAATGAATATATCAAGATAATTTATCTTTTTAATTTAATAACTTCTTTTGTTTTTTTTGTCTGTGCTGATATTGTCACAATTTGCTTGAGCCATTCATTATAACCCAAAAAATAAGTGCTTAATACTAAGTATTTTAATAGGAATAATAAATCTGAAAATGTAATCATTTAAATGTGTATTTATCTGATAGCCACTGATCGGACTAGGAAGAGCTATTTAGATTCATTAACCACAAACATTGACGTTAATATGGATATTCCATGGAATTCCAACTGTAAAAATAGTTTATGTAAGCCAATATGCGTGAATGTAAATTTTACATCAGCAATACCTTAGAATTTAGTAAAATATGGTAATTTATTTTAACTCAGCTCTAAGTGTGGCTGAAATGAACCAGACCAAATTTTGAATAAATAATATTTGATCTGAACAATATGTAAATGAGATACTTCGAATTACATTGAAATTGAATAGAAACAGTTTTCTACAGAATAAAAAGTTATCACTAGCAAACAGAATAGGTCATATTTATACTTGTACATTGTTTGAGAATGAGACTTTTAACATTTTATTGTACTTTCTTCATAAAAAGTAGTAGATGTTCATCTAGGGTAATTTACCTTCCAAATCGCTATTAAAGTATAAAATGATAAGTTGTAAAATTACATTAGTATTCCAAATATTGAAATACTTTTAGTATAGGGTTGCTATCACTCTGGTTATCTTTGGATTTATCCTTTTCTTATTTTCCTCATATTAGTAGATCCAGATATTAGTTGGAGTTTAAAATTTTCGGCCACTATTCTTGCACAACCATTACACGACTTTTGACGCATGACGCAGCGACGTCCGACATATATTCTCTAGGTATCCTTGAAAATCTGTATTTTATTATCAAAACTATTCAAAACAACCAGTATTGTGTTTACAGGATAAATAAGAATGTATTCAAGACTGAACAAATACACATCAAGCCTTCACCGCAGACTAGGGGGCTCGCGACATTACAGTAGCAGCATTTTAAAGAAGAAAGAATCACCAACAAGACAAATTCAGCCAGGAAAAAGCGCCCATGGTTTTATTTGTTCTGACGTGGAACACATTAAAGAATATAACATGACAGCATACTTCCTCACACACGAGAAAACTAAAACAGAATACCTGCACCTAGAAAGAGATGACTCTAACAACGTATTTTCGATAGGATTTCGAACAACGCCTCTAGATTCTATGGGCACGCCTCATATTTTAGAGCATACTGTTTTATGCGGTTCAGAAAAGTATCCCGTTCGCGATCCGTTCTTCAAAATGCTGAACAGGTCTTTAGCTACTTTCATGAATGCACTGACAGGGCCAGATTTTACTTTCTATCCATTTTCTTCTCAGAATGAGGTGGATTACAGAAATCTACAAAAAGTTTACCTTGATGCAGTGTTTAAACCTAATTTGTCGAGATTGGACTTCTTGCAAGAAGGGTGGAGGCTGGAACACTCGAAATTGGACGATAGAAATTCACCTTTGGGTTTCAAAGGAGTAGTTTATAATGAAATGAAGGGCGCATTTTCTGAGACTAATTCTCTTTTTGGACAGAAGTTCATAAATGCAATTTTACCTAAGGGAACATATGGTTATGTTTCCGGTGGGGATCCGCTACACATTCCAGAGTTAACACATCAACATTTAAGAAACTTTCATAAAACTTACTATCATCCTAGTAATGCAAAGATGTTTTCTTACGGTAATTTTCCTTTAGAACCTAATTTGAAGTTTGTCAATGATGCTTACTTGAGTAAATATGATTTCTTAGATCCAAAAGATACGATTGTTACACGACAGGAAAGATGGAAAGCTCCTAAGCGGGCGAATATATCCTGTAGAGTCGACCAATATGGAGTACCCATAGAAAAACAGAATCAGATTGCAATAGGCATGGTAATGTCTGACATCACAAGCATTTATGAGACATTCATGTTGACAGCGTTATCTGAACTTATGATAATTGGTCCAAATTCGGCTTTTTATAAAAGTCTCATCGAGAAAAATATTTCCGGTGGATACAATTCATCGACGGGTTACGATAACCAACTGAGAGATACGTTGTTCGCTATAGGTTTGAAAGATATTGAAAAATGTAATTTCGAACAAGTAGAGAAAATAGCGGATCAGACCATTGAAGAAATATTCGAAAAAGGTTTTGAAAAATCTCATATTGAAAGTGTTTTACATGGCTTCGAACTATCTATTAAACATCAATCTCCTAAATTCGGTTTGAATGTTCTTTTCAATTTAATGCCTCTTTGGAACCACAACGGGCCTGTGTTAGGTGCTTTAAAAGTAAACGAATTACTCGCTAAATTAAAAACTGATTTGATGAATCCAAGCTACGTGAAAAATGTCGTTGAAAAGTATTTTATTTTGAATCCTCATAAGCTAGTCATGACAATGCAACCAGACCCCAAATTTGATGACATTTTTAACGAAGCTGAAGCAAAATTACTAAAGTCTAAAGTTAGTGCGTTGACCAAAGAAGAGAAAGAACAAATATACAAAGATGGTTTAGAACTCTCCAAAGCACAGAAAGAAGTACAAAGCTTGGAAGTTTTGCCTTGTTTGAAGATTAATGAAATAACTTTGAGCAAAACAGCCCCACCTTTAAAACATACCGTAGCTGACATCGTCCCTCTTCAATTGTGCGAAGCAAACACGAATGGAGTAACTTACTTCAAAGGTATATTAGGAACTGAATGTCTCAATGTGAGTCAGAGACCGTTGTTACCCTTCTTCAATTATATTCTCGACAAATTTGACACTAAATCTTTTAACTATCGAGATTTGGACAAATTCATTAGCAAGTCTACCTCGGGATTGAGTGTTATTACTCACATAACCGAACATATTGATCAACAAGGTCAATATGAACAAGGAATTGTTTTAAGTAGTCACTGCCTCGACGAAAACTTACCGAAAATGCTTGATATTTGGAATGAGATATTTAGCAAGCCAAATTTTAAAAATAACGAGAGGATTGCAATGCTTTTGAATAACTATTGTTCATCATTATCAAATGGAGTGATCGACAGTGGACATACTTACGCAATGCAAGCCGCTAGATCACTCATATCATCAGTAGACGAGTGCAAGGAAAATCTTCTAGGCCTTCACCATGTTATAAATATGCAAGAACTCCAAAAGACTTACAACATCGATTATATCCAATCTTTAGTTGACCAAATAAGCCACTCCATCCTGAAGGGAAACAACTTAAGAGCTGCTTTTCATTACTGTAATACCAATAAAGATGTCCATGACTCTGTCAACAAATTTTGTGTTGAACTATGCAAAGATGATGTGAATAAAGAAATGAATCGCATCAATTGGACAGAATGTAGACCGATGCCTCAGGAGAAACGTGGTCTTCACATATCTATGAACGTTCCGATCAATTTCTGTGCCAAAGTGATACCTACAGTGCCGTATACTAATGCAGATTACCCAAAACTTAGAGTTCTATCGAGATTTCTGAGCTCTAAATATTTACATCCTGTTGTAAGAGAACAAAATGGCGCTTACGGTGGTGGAGCCACGTTGACAATGGATGGTACTTTTAATTTCTACTCATACAGAGATCCGAATTCAAGAGTCACTCTTGATGTTTTCGATAATACTGCAGACTGGATGATACAAAACCACAAACTCTTGGATGAGCAAAATCTCTTTGAAGCAAAATTGTCCATTCTGCAGCAAATGGACCAACCTGTTGCTGAGTATATGAAAGGAGTTGACCTATTTCTTTATGGTCTTTCATATGACATATGGAAGACGCAAAGGGAACGCGTATTGGCTGTAAAAAATGAAGACCTGATTGAAGTTTGTGAGAAATATCTTACTAAAGATAAATGGGCGGGAAAGTGTGTTATCGGCGAAGGGTCGCAAGAACTGAGTAGTGGTGGAGAGGTATGGCAAAAGATCAGTGGCCCACAGCAATAAAAACAATAAGCCCCCGAAAATTGTTTTATGTGCATTTAACAAAAAACCTACACATCTATCGTACATTTTTTACTCAGGATTTGTACGACAGTATTGCTTTTAATTAGTTTGGTAGTTTTATGTCAAAGACATTTAAGTCCTAGTGATTATTAGCAGCTTAATTGAGAGATGTAACTGCTATTAGGTTCCTCATACTGTTACTTTTTAGGTTTTGCATATGTAGTTGTTTATGGATAAGAGAATTCTCTGCTTCAAATCTTTAGATAGTTCAACATTTTAAATTTTATAGTTTTGTTTACTTTGTTGATGCTGTTTATTTACTTTATGAGAAAAAGTTATTTATTTGCTTAAAAAAATTATAGATATCATATCTTTGAAAATGAAGTTATTGCGATTATTAATTATATTCTGGTAACCGAATTGTATATAGCTTTGGCGACATTTGAAACGAAAATTTTATCTTCATATATGGATTTGTAATTATTCGTATCTTTTGATTAAATCGCTAACAAGCTGACTAATAAAAGCGTTTTAAAATGATATTAGACGCAAAGCGATTGTTTAGTTTAGTATGAATATCTGATATTACATAGACTATAGAACCTTAGTGCATGTATATCATAGATTAATCTAAGGTTTGGAGGAAACTATAAATGTATGTATTACAGTTTTGTATTAATATCCGTAATTACTGACAGTTACATTAGTGACTGAAGGAAATTACGTATATTAATACTATACTAGGAGTGCTTTTAAAGAAATCATCACCATCTTAGCCAGTGGATATTTATTGTATTGTCATATATATATATTTTGAATATTATGTGAATGAAAACAATACAGGTAACAATTTTTATTTGTGGGATTCAAATTAAGTTGCATGGGTTCGCAAAGCGCTTGTAACTCAAGATTCAATCCCCATGATGTTAAGATATTTGCCTTAAATATTTATTTAATCCCTATTTTATGAAGTTGAGACTGTATGTTATTAAATGTAATTTTTATAAAAAAATATCTTTTGTTTTTTCGCCCTTTTTGCTACCCACACCTGTTCATTGGTTATACTAAAAACAATCCCTTCTTTCTGTATAGATAGATTATAGATATTTTTTTGACAGTTTAAATAGGCTTATTACAGTTAAGAATCTTATTTCGTAACATATTCTTAGTCTGCTCCCACATCCGATAACCGAAAAACGGCAACACTTGGGATGCTTCCAGGGACCGCCTTTCGCGGATCACCGGTTGGGAACCACTCTTCTAAATGGTTCTAAAAGTAAGTTGTTTTTTTTTTTTTTAATTTAATATCGTTCCTAATATGTGTAGAATTCTGTATTAAGTAGTCAAAACTATCTTGATTCCAATTTGTAAAAATTATATCATTCTTTTTGAATCAAAAAGAACAGGGTTGGCAGATGTGTTCTTTTTGTCTCACGCAACAAAATGTTTATCGTTTGAACACTATTTGTTAAACATAGCCCAATATACGTACCTATACTATGCGAGTACCAAGCCTGTGCATACTTCAGTCTTTTTAAAAATTTGATTCTGTTGTACTAATTGCTGTAAAATATATTTGCAATTGGATATTTAGTTCAGCATTTCTTAACCTCAGGTGCAGGACGGTATTGGGTACCAGATACCTGGAATTTTAATGTCATGAAAGTCTTTTTCACTGTCATTTTGACTCTGAAAGTATGTATTAAACTCTATTGTAAAAAGGCACTAAATTAGGTACTATTAATAATTGTTAAAATAGATTTTTTTACATAGATAATTAATCATATTATTTGAAGTAGCTTGACATGAAATAAGTAGTAGCCTGAAATATTACATTCGTAAGTCGACTCGATTTTATTATAAAAATAAAACAATAAGCTTAAAATTGTCATAGTAAAGTTAAATTTTGTACGAATGTTAAATCTTGAATCTGCTTCACGCTTTAAAAATAAATCTATGTTGTACCATCGTTTTTCTTAAGCAATAGGCAATGATATTGCAACAGGTATATCAAATATTGTAGAAAGTTTAACTGACGAATGGACGCTGTGAGTTTCGCAAGGTTAAGGTTAAATCAAAAGTTTATTACGAGTGCGTTATGAAAATGTTATATTTTTTTTTTTTTATTAAAAAATCTTGGCTTTATTAATATTAATTTCTGACCATTTAGTATTTCTTGTACATATAATTCGATTCATTAAAAGAAACATATGCAAGGTTAAAAGTATGTCTCAATAATTTGATCCAATAGAATTAAACGAAATCGGCTTTCGAGTATTATGCTTAGGCGACCGTTTTTTTTGCAAAGGAGTGTATTTGAAAGACAAATTTCAGGACTTTTGACTTTTATTACATATCAATAAGTTTAGTCATTATTATTAGGTTAATAAAACAACAAGGTTATGGGCTTCAAAATCACCAGCCGAAAGGTTAAGAAACACTGATTTAGATAATCCTTTTAGATTTAGTAACGCTTCAATTTCATTTATATTTTAAGTTCAATAACGTACAACATTAATTAATGATCCACACACACTCAGTATTATTAATAAACAAGGTTTAGCGTTGGAGTAAATTTACGCTGAGACTGCACTTGGTATTAGTCAAATTCATATTATCAAACAGAGACTTAGCAAAGGATAACCTAGTACGAGGTTCTACGGGAGTATATTTACTCCTAGAAGGTAGTAGGTTTGCTTATTCTCTGTATAATATAAATGAAAACTAGTACTAAAATTACAATTTTAACGTAAATTTACTCTGACGCTAAACCTTTTTTTATTAATAGCACTGACAAAGTTTAACAGCGGTGTGTCTTTTTGATAACAGGATTTTCATTGCATTAGATATAATATGATAACGCCACTGATTAATAAACAAGATTTAACATTTTAATCGCTTTAATGAATTATTAGAATTAATACAGATCCCGTCACGTAAAAAAGCAGTTGAAAGACGGTTGATTGGAGGTATTTGCGGCTTGTGCTTGGGTAGGTAGATGCTGTTGTTTTATTATTTTAAGTTTATGTGGAATACTGTTCAATAATAATAAAACATACTTATTAGCGTTCCTTTGCACCCGTTATCTTGTCGTGTCGTGTCTCTTATATAGCACACCGCAAAAGTACCTCGCCGGCGGCCTTTTTACGTGACGGGAACAAGGTATTTGGTGAATTTTATTTTCAATGTCGCGTTTGTATTTTTCCGCAGTTAAATATGAGTTTCCCGTCATCCTTCGAAAGCGCAGAAAAGTATTTAGATGAATGCACGGCCTTCTTTAAAGAGTTTCGATACGTTTTCTGCCATCAAAATAACGAAGTGTTGGTCAAAAATGTATTGGATCACATAAACGTGTGTAATTTTGAAAGTGTCGATGTGTTCGATAAAAATTTCGACATAACACGTTTGATACAAGATGACGATTATCTTAAGCGATTTTTTTTCACTTGGGATAGATTACAAGTTCATTTCGACGACGTGGAAGAGAAAGATTTCGATAACGATATAGAAGCTCCTGTAAGTCCCAAAAAGAGATATGAGGTTCTGAATTTAGTGAACGAAGTGGTTAACATTTGCGAGAACTATAATTGCGATTTGTTAGTAGATTTCGGTTCGGGCTTGGTAAGTTCAATAAAGTAACGTGCATGCAACAAACGATCGACATTTTGTCAGTCGTATATAAAATACTGTGTTTGAAACTGACTGTACAACAATGTTTAGATGTTGGTTCTCTTTTTTAGGGCTACATCGATCAACTGATATACGATGTAGCGGATTACAAGGTATTAGGATTAGAATCCAATGATAGTCATTATGATAGTGCACAGAAACGACAAAAGGAATATCACACAGACTCAACGTCGAATGTAAAATTCTTAAAACACACCGTCAAAGAAGACTCTCATTTAAAAATAGCTGAGTATCTGCAAGAGGTTTTTCCTGACCACGGACAGTTTTGCGTAATCGGTCTGCACGCATGCGCTGATTTGACAGTTGAAGCTATGTGTAATTTTTTGAAAATGCCTGACGCAAAATCTCTAGCTGTATTGCCGTGTTGCTATCACAAAATGACAAAAGATGGTGCTAATTTTAAATATTTCCCTTTAAGTGGCAATTTAAAGAAGATTTTTGAAAAGCATGATGCTTACAGTTTCACAGATGTGAGTTTCTTGAGATTAGCAGCTCATGCCGGCTCCGAACAACGAGATTTGTATGAAAAGGTGTTTTCCCTGCTCGTGAGATCGATTCTTGAACTTTATGCTCATAATAGTATGTATTATAATAATTATTTACTTATATGTATATATTGGAACCAAACTACATAAATCAAATAGTGAACATATCTATTTTTAACCATGTTATTTTAAATACTACCAATAATTTATTAAACTTCACAAATCACACGCTTGATTGAATTGTATTTTTGGATGTGATAAACCAACCAGTGGTCAGATAATAAGTAATTTAAAATTGAAATGATAAAATTGTTTCAATTGTTTCAGATGGTTTAATTATAAAGAGGAATAAAAGAAAAGCTGTCCGGATGAAAGGCAAGAAGGACTTCGAAACTTACATTCAAGACGCAGTTAATACCGGCTACTCTTTAATTCCAAAACCGAACCCTGCCGATATCCAACAGGAAACGTGTAAAAACGATGAAATCGTGAACGGTTTTAATATGGACGAATTGAGACGACTTTGGTGGAAAATATCGCAAGGTCCATTGTTCAAAAAAGCGGGAATTTATATTTTGATGCAAGAATATATGCAGCCAATTGTCGAAAATTTTATTTTACTAGACCGTCTGCTGTTTTTAAAAGAAAATGGTATCGAGAAGTGTTGGTATAAGAAGATATTTAACCAAATAGTTTCTCCTAGGTGTTTAGCTTTAATTGCTGTTAAATAATGTAACATTTGAGTCCTCTGAAAACGGCAACTTTTCTGGATATATGTATATTATGTAGTTTTTAAAAAGATCTGATATTTTTTGAGAATTGTTACAAGGTATGTGATACCCGTCGTAAAGTTCTGTAAAATGTAAACTATTCTCTGTGATGGCAACTTTTTGGCAAGCCGATTTGATATTTATATCAAAATAATTTTGGTGTTGTCCATTTTTGATAATATAAGTTTTTATAATTGAGAATTTCCTTAGCCCAGTGGCTCACACACCAGTGGAAATCAAGTAGAAAACGAACTTTTCTTTATTTTCTCGAGTCTAGGTATGGGTTGTAATACCTTCTTTGTATCACTTACTCGTTATTACGAGGGATTTAACTTATCTTGGAATCTGAGCAATGTATGTATGCGATGTTGTCTAATGTCTAATATATTTATTTATAACGTATTATGATTATTAAGATGATTAGATATACCTAAAACTTTCATCATGAGCTTTTAATGATAAGACCACAGAACATAGAGAGAGAATAGAAGTATAATGATATTGATTTAGTATGGGAACCGAGTGTCGCCTCTCCGCACACAAACACAGATTAGATGAAATGATCATTTTGTTCACTACATGAAAAACTGCCACGCGATTCGTTCGTGATAGCATAAACAGAATCCCAAAAAGATACTAAGCTAAGAAATCACACGATTAAAAACAAACTCTAATTCAACGTGATAATAAATAATTTACTTTAACATGAATGTTGAACTGTCACGTGGCTGTATACGGGGATACCAGAAGGGAAAAAATATTTTAAGATTAAGCACATTTTAAAAAATTGGGGACATCATTTTATGTGCGAACTATTAAGATTAGATTTTGCTGTAACCAAGTGAATATTAAAAAATAACGCTTTTCCCTATATAACTTCTTTTAAAAAACGCAGTACAAAAACTAAGAAAACTTAATGATAAACTCTATCATATGTCTGCGGAGTAATATAATTAAGCGAGGGAAAGTGTAAAAAAAAACAAAAATTAAGAAACCAACAGAATTTTTGTATTAATTACATTAAGCCTAATTTGTCGTTCATTTACTGGTATCATTCCGATTGTGCATATTAGTGATGTGACATAATAGTAGTTCATGAAATAAGAGGTTTAAATTTTGTTATGAAACAGTAAAATGTAATTCAGTTCGACAATGTTCTACAGTGGTTTGTTAGTAATTATTTAAAGCTTAATTCAAATAAAACGAAATGCATAAAGTTTGCATTACCTAATGTGAGGCATATTAATACACTTATAAATGTAAATAGTGAAAAAGTTGAGTTGGTGAAATCGACAAAGTTCCTTGGTATTACACTAAATTCCCGACTGCAATGGCATCCTCATATTAATAATTTGTCAAGTAGACTGAGTTCTGCAGCATTTGCTGTTAAGCAAATTAGACTCTTGACAAATGTTGAAACGGCAGGATTGGTATATTTTAGTTATTTTCATAGTGTAATGACGTATAATCTGTTGTTGTGGGGTTCTGCGGCTAGCATTCAAGATATTTTTATTCTACAAAAGAGAGCTGTCCATGCTATATATAATTTACGGTCTAGAGAATCTCTCAGATAAATATTTAAAGAAATAAATATTTTGACTGTTGCCTCTCAATACATCAATGAAAATATTATCTACGCAAGAAAACATTACGATTCCTTCACAAAAAAAGTAGTGTTCATAATCATAACACAAGAAATAAAAATAAACTTGCCGTTCCAAGCTTCTGACTTCAAAAAACCAGAGGATCAATGCATTTACATTGCTATGTTCAATAAAGTTCCACAAAATGTAGTTTACCTACCCATAAATAAATTTAAAATTCATGTAATGAACATACTTATGAGTAAAGGCTATTATAAAGTTGATGATTATTTTAAGAATCGCAATGCATGGAATGAATAGCCATCGCTTTGTTCTATTAAGACTAATTGTCAATATGTTCAACCTATGTCCTACAGACTTTGAAAGTTGTATTTATTATTGTGATAAGATATGAAATGACATGATTTATGTAAATATCTTAGGGCTGGTAAGTTTCTTTCGCTTGTTCTTCTTGTCAGCTAAAAGACGTCCTGAACAAGTGGTAGGGGAAAAAAATTTTTTGGACGATTCAAAAGTGCTTGTAATAGCCTACTTGAATAAAGATATTTTCATTTCATTTCATAATAACTAATATGATCATTACAATAATAAATTGATCATAGCCATGTTTGTTTTACTTTATTATTCTAAGTTTATTATTCTAACTGTAATAATAATAGTACCTACATTTTTAATTGCAACGACTGGACAATAAGGAATCGCTGGTCAAGTATGAGTTTGAAAGCCGTGACAAAAAAGTTTGAAGACAGACACAAAAGCGATAAGTACATACAAACGTCAATCTACATATAAAGTCACATCCGTTTGAGACATGCGTTTATAAACTTATGTGCAAATATGAAGCAACAAAAAAGCTGATAAAAGCTGTTCTGTGGGCGGTTCTTTAAAGTGGCTATCTTAACTCGATTTCTATAATAATGGTTTCCGATTATGAATCAGCATAATAAAGTAAATTAAATTGACGCCTATAAATTAATTTTGTAAATTAAATTCACACCACCAACAATATTACGTTAGTTGAAAACATGATTTTTTGTTTGTATAGATAATATGTTGTTTTGAAATTCATTTGATAGGTTTAGGTCTAAAACGGATAGGACAAAATAAATTATGTAAACAGGGCAATCCGTTGTAAAGTTATTAGGGAAACTGAAATATAAGTAATGCAAAATAAGTGAAATCCAGTTTCACCAGTTTCTAATAAGACCTATTAGGCCAACACTCGTAGCTTTTCACGAAGTTTCGTTTGATTTATATATTGTTCATAAAACGTTGATATACTTCGTAATTTAGATATTTATAGTACATCAGTATTTTTTAATATTTATCTGCGTGTAAATAATTAACCAAATCTTCGTAAAAAAGTGCCTGAATAGTTCATTATTTCATCTGTTTGGTATCAATTCATCATTTATTTTCAGGAGGCACAGCACTATTTTTTGCAAAAGTGCACAATATGATTTACATTGCTGTCTAGAAACGGGGTTAGAAACAAACATGTTGGTTTGAGCAAACAATGTATATTTTATTTGAAATTGTGTCAAATTATTACGTTTTTTATATTTTAGCACTAAAATTGTACTTACCAGTGAAAGGAAATGTTTGCATTAGTTAGATTGTATACTTTGTTTTGCTTTTTGCAAGTGATAATAGCACAAAACGGTATTTTTTATAGAAAAAATCAGTAAAATCACCACTCGACGATTGACGAACGACTGACAAATATAAAACCGAGGAAAGTGCGACATATGAGTAAAAGCGCATATGCCAGCGACGCGTGCCCCGCCCACTTACTACTTCTATTCTCTCTCTATGTTCTGTGGATAAGACTGTAGTGAAACTAGATTTAAGTAATTTTTTTTTAAATGTATCCGTCATGACTTGAAAATCATGTCCGTGTTAGTGTACGGTGGTTTTGTCAATGTCCATAGTCATCTAAACGACATGTTGATTGACATTAAAGTTTTGGATAAAAGAACACGGGGAAAAGTACATTAAAACATAATCGATAATACTTCTATTTTATGCCCTTTTATAGCGGGTGAACATGGCATTATGACGCTATCGACGGTAGACTGAAGGGATTCCAATGATACCATTATGTTCCCCTCTGGTAATCAGAAGTTAAATATGGAATTAGCAATGATGTTATTAAAAACCACGGTCTATAATATATCGATTGATGCAATTTACTTCCTGCTATACCTATAATTACATCTTCTAGCGACTGATCGCTTTGTGTTCTTTGAAACTAATTATACATGTTATTTACATATTCTATTTAACTAAGAATAATGTTAAATGAAGCGTTTAGTAATTAATAAGTACAAGATATTTCAATATATGAATATGAAAGAAGCCACAATATATTAATTTTAAAACTATGTAGTGTTCAACGGAAAACATCGACTACTATTGGCAGCACTAATAGGGTTATTTCGGTAGTGCAAATTAAGTCGCAAAATTGCACAAAAACTAGAATTTATATCATAATAAATATAGATATTCTGATATTGAGTCTTACAATCGCACGATTATCTTAAAATTAAAAGTAGTGTTTTTTTGTCTGTGTGTCACATGACTTGAAACGCAACCCACCATTGTATGACGCCACTGTGGCCACAGCTGTCAGATTATTCATAGATATTTGCCTATTAATTATAAATCGAATTCCTAGACAGCGTTGTTCTTAGCTCATTTTTATCTTTTTATTTCGAAATCGATCATTAAATGGCATTGTTCTTATTTTATTAACGTATTTTAATTTTTAATTTATGGATCTGTTTTGTACATAGAGTTAAGATTTTGTGTACATATCACAAACACGTCATGAATATAGCGGACAGCGTTTTCGCGGGAATAAAACAGTTTAAATTTTGATTTAATTTTAAGGCAATAAAATGTGTTTATTTTCCTAAAATATTTATTTTATGGCTTTTTAAATTAAAATAAATAGTTACAAATATTATTTCAGAGTAGAATACCCAATCGTCGATTTCACTACAGGCAACCTTATCTGTCACTGTCATTTTGACTGACTTTTGATCAGTTTCGCGCCAATATATAACAACTTCCATGTTTTAATTGTGGTTCAAAACTTGGAATTGGTATGATGATTATAAATATAACAATGAGGAAGGATTAAAAAAAAGAAAGCACTAAAAAAGCAACTCCACTAGAGGCGACTCTTGCAAAAGTTGATTTATGCAGGAAACGAATGGAACAAAGACAGTAATTTCCGTTCCTTTTAACTAACATATTAAAAAACTGAAATTTTAAAAGGTCGAAACTTAGATATCATTACAAATACGAAAAAGTACAAATAGAATATGAGTTGTATTTTTTTGAGTTTAGAAACTAATTTACTTTTAAACTTGAAAGAAAACCGGGAAGGTTGTCAGGGAGAAATCAAGAACGTACCGTAGCGACATATAGTTTGATTTTGGGAACTAATGTTTTTTTTTAATACTTCCGCATTGAATAATAAAATGTGTCTTTAAGTATTTAAACAAGATAAATGTTGTTCGCATTATAAACTTCTACCGTTGTTTTTATAATAACTAGGGAATTTGATTGATTATAGAAAAAATAAATTAAGTCAATCGTTTGGATCAATTCAATTAAGAATTGTAAGTCGGTTCATATAAGTGTTTGATGTTAATATAATGGATGTTCTACTTTGGAGAGAAATAATATTATTCTATACCTACCTTGTAGTCCATAAAATACAATATCTACAATATCTTACCACCAAGTAAATGTTGTTACCAATAATACATAGCTGGATTAAAAAATATCTTTTCAATTACACAATAATAGCTTTTTATTTATTTCATAAATAATTCGAACCTTTGATTCCTATTTTCGTATATACAAACGTTGGATTTCATTTTGTAATAATCATTTTTCACTGTTTATATCATCAACTTAAGAAAGACAGTCACATGATATTGATTTATGTTAATATGGTATAAACAACAACACACATAAGAGCTTAAGAGCCATATGACAAATTTTCACTCTGTGATTTGAGTTCTCGAGAACTTGTTCAAGGTCACGAGTCCACAATACTGTGTTGAAACCACGTTCAAGCTATTTTGATACTTTTCCCAATTTTTGTATTTATTTTAGTATTTCTATGGTGAGATTCATTATCGATTCCCGAATATTTTAAACGACTGCTCTCGAAAAGGAGTCTATTGTTTTTAGAATTAATGTATGTATGTGAGTATTTTTATTGCACCATAACTTTTGAAAGATATAACGGATATGAATGTACAGGGTATCATTAGAAACATCATCCTAAGTTACCACAAAATACATAGAGTATCAGTGAAACTAGCTTAATTATTAATATTAAATAGGTATGGGGACGTGTGACGCCATTTAAAAAAGTATGTTTTTTTATAATCATAACTTTATGGGTATCAAATTAAAGGTCCATTAAAAATATATAATCTGTATACAAAATTAAATGCTCACTAAAATGAATAAAATATAAAAATTATTTAAAAATTAAAAACACGACTGCTAAGATCGGACAAAAATTAAAAGAAACAAGTTTAGCCATATATCAATAAAATTATAAATATTAATTAAAAAATATTCGTGCCATATTTTTCGTCGACGATTTCGAAATATTTTCGTCATCCATAGGAAACATGGACTGTTTCCTGTTTGGAAAAGTAGTAAATTAGAATTATATTAAACTAGTTGTGCCCGCGGCGTTATGCGAATGGAAAGTAACCTAAGGTTCTTTTCTCATGGCTAGATGCGATGTTATTCGATATGAATGAACGATATCACACGAATCGTGTGCACTTATAAAATGTATGGAAAAACTCAAGTGTTTGCTCATGAGATTGTACTATCTGTCAATATCGGTCACAAATCTCATGGTCTGCGGTATCACTTCAAATGTATGAAGGTGGTAGAACGCTCGATCTGCTTTTGATTTTCTGTTCAATAATATCGAGGAACGATTCATTTGCTCATACTTACCATATCATCAAAATATATTGAATTTTACAAAAAAATACGGCAATATCCGTATATAAACAAATGAAAAGCTCGATGGTGCCGGATAGCTCGTTTGATCTGCGATTGAGGAGGTTAAGCGACGATTGCAAAGGCCGGCAATTGGATGGGTGGTCAATTTTTTGGTGTTCAAAAAAGAGATAAGGCAAAAAGAGCATATAAGAAACGTCCAACTAACCGCAATCTTATTCGTTTTAAGGTTCTTCGAAATTGCTGCAGTCGTATGTGTAGGGATGCTAAGCGACGCTTTTTCCATAGCTCTCTTACTGATCGCAATCCTACTGATGCCTGGCGATTTTTGCGCTCTGTAGGAGTGGGGAAATCTACTGCTACTGTGTCTACCAATGTAGATTTAAGCGTCCTTAACAGACACTTCTCCCTTCCTCCTTCTACTATCGATGGTGACATAAAGGATTCTACGCTCGCAGAACTTTCACTGGTTCCGAGGCCAGACTGCACATCTTTTGTCTTTTCAAAAATATCCGAAACTGACATTAAAAATACCATTCAAGCCATTTCTTCCGAGGCTGCTGGCGAGGACAACCTAAGCGTAAGAATGTTTACCCC